TATATATCACCTCTGACGTTGATAAGATAAATCTAAATGTATTCAAAAAACTAAGAAGCCTATTTTTCGAAAATCTTCGGTAAAAGTCGCGTAGAAACCCACTTAATGAATGAAAATTATGCAATTCTCCTTCTGAAGGATTAAAAAGCATCAGTCTTGCTTCAGATTCTGATGATACCTGAACAAAGGTCTCTATTATGTTCTAATGAGCTGCAAAAAAAATTTGGATGAAGGAATACGAAAATTATATTGAATTTCAATATTTTTTATGTTAAAGTTTTTGTTCACATCAAACAAAAATTTCTAAACAAAAGTTACGAAATCCAGTAAGTTACTTTTATAAGCATATAGTTTAAGCACTAAATATAAGTAATATTATCATTTTAAAAAATAATGCGAAATTTAATAATGAAAAAATCACCAAAAGAAGAGAGTTAAAACGACTCATGAAAGCAGCATATCTGAAACTGCAATGTGTATGAATCTCCTTAAAACTCATTATAGCCATGCCCTGAAATTAAAACTGCTCCACTTTTGGCACACCAATAGTGTTTGGACTCCAAAATTCAAAAAAAAATGAAAACTTAACTCCAAAAAAAATATGCAAAAGGCTTAAAATTCGAATATAGAAACATGCCATTCGATTAGTTTCAAATCCTCAAAGTCATATATTATAAAACATGAAAATTTAAACTTTAAACAATATTTATACAGATAATTTACCTTTTGTCTATTGGACATTGCCAACTCGATTTCTTCTTCATGATGAAAGTAATTAGTATAGTTCGGAAAAGTAAACAAGTAAATTTTTCCACTGTCAAGAGCAATACACATGCATGCATCTTCAAGTTGGAAATCCCAGGAGATAGAAGCACTTTCTATCAGCTTATTTTCCATCAGATTCTGAACGACAAACTTTATAAGTGTAATCCATTTCTGGCATGTGATGGAATTGATGCATTTGTGCTTTAAAGGGTAATGTAAATTAGAAACAAGAGTACCAGTTGATGTATTACACGCTTAGAATCGATACATAAAAAAATTAAGTTTCCAGAATCCTCCACAACCATGAGAAGATTCACCACTGGCATGAATTTCACGGCGACTGGATTAATGTTATCTGTAATATTAACTACTAATGCTAAATAAGAAAAGGTTACACAAAGCATATCCCTTCCAACAAAATTATCGAGAATATATGGACATCTAGTGAAACTGACATGTGAAGTTTTGTTCTTTCAAAAACATTGCAATTTACAAGCTAACTTAATTTATGATTGTAGCTTGCTCCAATACTAGCATTTAATGAATTTAAACATAGTAATGACAGAAGTGTAAAAGATTATCATACCTCCAAGATGCATCGTAATAATGAACCTTATACCACAATCAAAACTGAAGACTGAAACATCCTCGCCTATCGTAACTACCAGCAAATCACTGTCATCATTTAAATCACTTAAAACCATCATCTTCTTCTGTTCCTTCTCATGATTATCATTTCTGATTGCTGATTCTGTACAGCCTTCGTTTTCTTCCACAGATACTACAGATGAGTCGTTTGTTTCTAGAGACTGTAGGAACGAACTTCCATCATCTAAATATTTGACCTGACAATGTAAACTGTTAAGGGTTTGGAAAACTAAAATCAGTTAAACAAACACACATGTGATATTTCACTTCATAATTCTTTGTGTTGAAAAAAATAATACCGAAAATTGATGCTATCATCTGAGACTCGTATATAGTGTTTTTATTGGCAGCGAATGTCAGATCCATTGTCTTATCACAGTCAGTAGATGTTGTAACATTAGTAAAGCGAGTACCCACAACAGATGCCATCATTAGTCTGTAAATAATTTATCAATTACAGGAAAATGTCGGAGTAAGAAGAAAAATATCAGCAATGACCTTTATTAATTGTTTTTGCTAGATTAATTTTAATTAGCATCATAAAAATAAGTTTTTCCCATTTGACGCCCTGAATTTCACATAAATTTTTCAAAACTGAAAAACTTAAACTTGCTAACAAATTATCGCTCGTCAATTATAATGCTAACTGCGATAAACCATCATTTCAATACGGAAGTTTCATACTATAAAAACAATACACTTAAGCTTAATTTAAAGTCCGTTCTTTTCACTACTAACATTATCACTGGCCTTACGTATTTCTTTGTCTTTTTCCGATTACATTCAACCTACCTTACTTAAAAAATAACACTGAAAACATAGTTCTTTATTGACTTACAAATAACTGCAACTTCCATTACAATTTGGTTTCAAAATAAAAGTTGAGAAGGATACTACCCAACAAGTATTTTACAATTATTGAATTAATCCATGAGTAATAATGAAACTTATACCACCTTTAGTATCATTACATCATTCAGTTCATAATTTACTTCACATTCTTTTTTTTTACTATTATGCTGATTTTGATGCACTGATCACTTTAATGTATATTACACCTCAATATCCAGATCATAACTTCCCGAAAAATACAATTGTCAGAATGAAATTTTCTGAAGTGATGGAATTCTGATACAACTAATTGTAAATCATATAAATCATAATAATACCAACCTTTTGCTAGTACAGACCAGTCTAACGAGAATGCAGTAGAAATAAATGGGTAAGCAAGTTTAAACTTGTACAATGATGCCGCCATTATTTAAATTCTTCAAAAAGATTGTCAGGTATTTTTCTATAACAGCGCTAATTCAAATAATAGTAATTTATATTTGATGGTTGCAGTAACGTGCTGTACAACTGCTAAACAGTTGGTTGGTTAGTCCATCATTTATTTATTTGGTTAATTAGTTAATCACTTTTCGTTTACTGATTGAGTCAGAAGTTTCAATAATAAGATTGACTGTTCATTTAGTTGTATTTGGAGTTCAAATCATTGATGATAAGGTAATTCAATATTTTATATAGCAAGTATTAAATAAGCCAAATTTTTTCCATTGGAGAGTTTTATAAAATTAAATTCTGTTATTTCAGTACTTGCAAATGCTAGCAATATCGAAATGACCGTTGGAAGTTACGTAGCAGAAATAGCAAGGCAAGGGATTTGGGCATCGCTCACTGGTGGATGGTACTATGAGCCGGGTTACTCACCATTTTGTAATGCAGTTCATTTATATCTTTGGCTAGTACTCTTCCTCATTCCTTTGCTGCTTGGTTTGTATTTTTTATCTAATTTATAATATTAAGATATTGTTGCTAAATGTTTTGTCTTGCATTATTCATTATGTCACCGTGATAAAAGGATAAGCTACAAAAATTGTCGGATTATTGCTAATTCAAACGATTCTATCTTTTCTATGGCTCTGGTGAAACTTTTTTTTTGCTTCAAAAATTCTGCTATATTTACATCATGCTCAGATTATTTTATCGTAAACATATTTCAGTCTCTACGGTAGCATTCAGTACTCACATATGAACAGCTTATTTTTAGGTATATGTTATGACGGCTCTACTCCTTCTTATATTGTAGTTGCGTATGTAGGCTTTATCGTTATCATCTTTGTGATACTTAAATTCATTGTTACTTATCTGCACAACTTGTTCGATACAGCTGATCCAGTTCCGTATCCACCTCTTCGCTCACTAAAAGTAAGCATTTCGTTTTTATGCAGCATTCAAATTTCAAATTTGGCTAATCTTTCATTATCGAAACTGATTTTACCATAGCAGGTCTTTTATTGTGCTTACGTCTAAAATCAAACCAGAATATCCGAATTTATGCTCCTTTCTTATTAGTTATTTGACTACAAATTTTATATGCAGTCTTTAGAATAATGGATTTTATGTTGTATTCAGATTGAAAGTTTTTCGTATGAAACGGTGCCGCACTCAAACGAAAAACTTAAAGACGAAGAAATTGAAATGGTAAATATGAAAAATGGTGAGGATGAAAACGCTGTTCATATTGAACCTCAAGCCTCGTCAAGAGAAAACCGATTAGCGGAAGCTGATGGAAATTTGACTTCATTTGTTGATGTGGAATCCAGAGTTTATAAAGTGTGTTTTAGTTTTCGAGAAAAGTGCAGATTGTTGAGTATGTGTGTTTCACTTGGATTTTAAAGGTTTATTTTGTGTTATCTACGCACTTATTTTTCCTTTTTATTCATTTTTTGTAGGATAACAGTGAAGAATGGGATGAAGATCGAAGCAGTGGAAAACATTCGGAACAGGGTTTGCTTGTACCACCGCTAACCACGCTCCTTCCAGCGGACAGTTTGGAGTTATTGCCATTAGAAGGAAGGTACATACGTATTCTTTCTGGAAGTTATTAAGATACTTAAGATCTTATTACTGAAGAATTAGTTTCTTGTCTCGTAGAAGCAAAATCCATGCAATTCAGACGTCAGTCTGGCAATACTGCTATGAGTCGACGAGTTGGAATTGATCGGAAGTTTTCCGAACCTTGTCTGAAGGAAACGCACAGACGTTGGTATCGGACACAACGTCGACGTCTAAGTGATACAGGACCGTCTGTACGTCGGGCAAAGTCAGTTTTTGAGACATCAAATAAAGGAGGTACTACCATTGGATCAGTACTAAGTCAGAGAACACTGGAAGAATGTAAGAAAGTAAATACTTTGATTCTTGTTTTTTTATTTTATTTGTTGTTTAGTCAGTCATATTTTTAAAGTGCAAAATAAAGAAGAATATGCAGCTCAAAATCGTGTAGCATTAACGGAAATGCAAACGTGTAATTAAATCAAATGATGATTCGTGCTTAGTTCATTTTTAAAAGACCACAGAAAAGACATACTCTTCCTTAAACATACACTATTATTAATATTTTTGGAGAAAAAGGATAATTCTCATAATTAGAGCAGTTAAATGTTTATTTTTGCGAGTGATAACGAGTGTTTTAATTATGATATTTGTCCTTTAGAAGGTAAACAATGCATCGATAAAGAAGCTAGAATTTAGTTATGATGTGATGACTAAAGTTTAATCAGAATATCGGTGCTTTTTTCCAAAAAACAATATATGACAATGATAAAGTTGACAATATAATGTTCAGGTGACTCGTAAATCATATCCGACTAAAATGAGCAGCACAGCAGCGTTCTTGTCAAGTGCCCTAGCAAAACACTCTGTACTATTTCATTCAGGTTTGGCGTATTTCATATTGTTTCGAACGAGTTGGAATCTTTCTTTATCTCAGTCTTTCTATTTTTGGTCTCCTATTGAGTCCCAGGGCATGGAATTCAATATGGAAGTAGATATTTTTTAGTAACATTTTTTTAGTGTATGTTTCCTGCATAAAAGATATTGTCTTTGATTAAGAAAATGGAATCTGTGTTTAGATGGACTGAATTGCGAAAGCAGACCAGAAACTGACTCAAATGATCACTGTGCTGTGAACAAAAAAAACTCCGTAATGTTCATTGAAGAGGATGAGCAACGAATTTCAAAAAGAGTGATTTTTTCTTGTTTAAAGTTTCGATTTTAACTTAAGTCTGTTTAAGGTGAGGGTTTTCTTGACACAGTTTTATTGGCAGTGACTTTAAAACTTTGGATTTAAGCATAATTTCAGATTACGCAGCAATATCATTTGCCTACTAGTCAAGAAATTCAGAGGAACAAAACATTTGGTACCAGAACTGTTGTACCCACTGAGGTCTTTTTTGCTTCTTTAAAGATTAAATTTGAACCAAAATAGGAAAATTTCCAATTTCTTTCAGATAGAAATTGGGTGGAAACATTTCAAAAGTATAATTATCAGGAGCATGTAATCTTTAGCCTGATGCTGAACCAAAAGCAAACATATCTTCTGGTGAAGGCTGGAGGCCTATTTTTGTCTCACTTGGTGATTTGGATAGACCTTCGACGAGTACATTGCATCGAACATCAGAACTAGTCGAAGGAGGCGATAATCTTTCATTACTCAGTAAGTTAATTTATTTTTTAACTTTCAGAAAAATTTTATGGCAATTTTTAATATTTTATTAATGTGCGTATTCAGATTTTCATGATTTTTTGAATTTGGGCAACTTTAAAAATCCAATGACTCTTTTAATTCAAGTATTTAATCGAGAAACAGAAATCATTTGGGCTTCTTTTAGGGAGCAGTTCTAAAGGAGTGGACTTGAAATGTGAAATTACGAAATTTCTGGAGGAATTAATTGACAAACATCCGGAAACATTAGATGCTATTGAAAATATAAGAATGAACAGACTTGGACGGGGTTTCACTTCTAGTAATGCTTATTATCTTCGCTCTCAGCCATCGATTTTGGCTAAACCAAGGTTCCTATTTTTATTGTAAAAACTTTACTGAATATTTTTCATTTTTTCATTTTATTTTCACGATTTTGAGGGTCATACACCATAATAGTTGATACAAGTTCATTGCAGGTTTGTTTTTCATTACATTTTTTGTAGATTAGTAGAGAGAAATTCTGCAACCGTAGCAGCATTGTCGAATTTAGCTTTAAAAGATGGTACTCACGTAGCCTTGGATCACGAGGACACTTCTCAAGGGGCTGTTCATTCATTCCAGGTTGCGTATATTGTTATTGGGAGTTTTGAAGTTCTGACGTTCATTAAATGTTAAATGATCTTTCATCCTTCGTCTATTGTAGCGATGAACTATTTGTTGATATATTCAGGATGAAGATGGTAATTGGTGGACGTATGCTTTCGATGAACATGGAGTCGGAACAGCTCATGCTTTGGGTAGTAGCCGTGCTTTGATGGAAATGATCGACAATAATACGATTACTGTACCTAATGTGGTTAGTAATTTGAAAGCTGATATGTTTTGTAAATTAAGCATTCACATTATATTTTATCATAAATTAATCCATTGATGCTTATAATTCAATCTAAAATGTCATTTTCCAGAAGCTTACAGCTTTAACAGAGAATAGTTCCGACTCAGCAGAGGATTCTGATGTCGATCACAATACGCTAGTAAATATGAATGAAGGCTGTTCACGTTCACAACTTATAGATGGCATGTCTTCGTCTGCTACAGGCAGGTCTCGGGCATTGTCATCTTCGTCAATAGAAAGTAGTACTTATATTGCTGACACACCTAGTGCTGTATATCATGCTTCTAGTTCTGCGTTAATGTCAACGCATTCGAACCGTGATAGGTATTCTTTTCACGTCTAATCAAATGTTCAACATCTTTCAGTCGTAGTTAGCAAAGCTATTATTAAATAGTTTTGGCAGAGGAAGTGCTTTTTTTCTTATGCCTGTGCTTCAAGTTGTATATTTTCAAATACAAAAATTTAGCTTCATTGTAATTCCAGTTTTTAGGTATTTTTATATTTTTAAAATATTCACTGTAGTAAAAGTATGACCGAAGAAATCAAGCGGTTTATTTAAGAAAAACTATGCTTTTTTATGTATTTCTTTCTAGAATTTTTGATAGTCTTTACTTTATTTCATAGACAAAATGTTTCATTTTCTACAATGGCTGCTCGTTTGAGAATTGCGTCTAGAAGACGATCTCATGAAAGTTTTTCTCGTAGAAGTAACTTTGTAGAAGAACAAACTGCTGGTGAGTCTGACTTTTCAAACGAAGTAAATGATTTGTTAAGTTTTTTGTCGATGTTGAGCTTTAAATTCTATGGAATATAAATTGATAGTATAATATCACTATATTGATATTATAGTATCATTATAATATTGAATGTGTAACTTTCAAAGAGTTCAGTTAGCAGTTCTATTTTGCTAAAAATTGACTTACCATAGACCTTGTTTACAGAAAATACTCCACAAATTTGTGGCATATTATCAAATAGTGAGTACCGAAGAGCATCAGGTGGTCCTACTTCTCCACCTAATGAAACACCTTCAGCTTTTCATCGCATGCCTTTTTTTTCTGACTTATCTGGGATTGGTACATCGGATTCAAGCCGAACTAGTGACCGAAGAAAAAGTCATTACTACTGGCTCAAAATATTTCCTGCTTTTACTGGTTGGAAAGGAATGAAGCTAGAAGTAAGATTTCAACTGAAACAAAATTGATATATAGATATGAAGAGAAGAACATGAATGTCATGGTCACTAGTGTTTGATGTAATGCGAAAGTTTCATTGAAATTTTTCAGATGGATCGTCTTTCAGTAGCTGCATTATTCGATCGTAACAGTACACTGTTCTCAACTTTATTTGATATTTTTCTCGCCTCAGCTATTGCAGTTCTTACAGTTATTATACTTTCACGTTCTATATATTACGATCTGTCTCTCGTACTTTTTGCTTTCGTTGTTGCAGGGACGCATGTGAGTTTTTTTGTACTAATTAATTCGGCCATATTTATTCTTGCATATTTTTGAAAATTTTAATATTTTTTTATTCTTGAATATTAACTTTACATTTGTATGTAAGGTACGAAATTTTCTGTCAAATATAGTAGTAATTATTCAGCTCATTGTTCATAATAAAAAGAATATTTCCACCAAACGCGAATGTAAAATATTAATTTTCATTACACATCTCCCATCTCAGCAATAATATGAAGCATTAAATTTGACTGAAACTTTGATTGCTATCGAATCATTGCATATTGATAATATCTTGATTTACGACATTAATTTTCATAAGTTATGGAATTTAAAATTAGCCTTTCATTTGCTTTTAATATTTCAAAACTTTCAGTTCTCTTTATTGAAAAGCGTACAGCCGGATGCAGCATCACCAATACATGGATTCAACTGGCTTGTAACATACTCGAGACCTGTTTATTTTTCAATTATGGCTGTAGCGTTGCTAGTCATGGATAATGATTGGTGGAGTCATCATGATGGATCTCAGATTTTAGAATTGGAATGGAATTTGTATCGTTTACGGAATATTTCACTGCCTACTGTTTTTCTAGCTTGTCGGGACTTATTTTCGGTCTTATTAATTTTGCTACCTGTCGCTTTCACTTTTGGTTTGTTGCCCCAGGTACTAAAATATTCTTGAACGTATTTATTGACCACTAAATTTTTACAGTGTGTCGATCTATTCATGATTAAATGGCCTTACTTAGTTGGTTTCATCATTTTAGGTAAATACGCTGGCTTTGCATGTATTCGAACAAGTGGAAATGTATGTTTTTGGTGGTACGGCTAGTCTTTCGTTGTTATCTGGATTTATTCAAGTCATTAAAAGTTTGCTTGGTTTCTGCTTTCTTTGCTTTGTAGCAAATACTGCGAAACGTGCCGATCCCAGTGGAACACAAAATGCATTTTTCTCTGCCTTCGTTGCACTTTCTGTCGCAGTTTCATATCTTCTTTCAAGGTGTGAATTGTTGCGCTTTTATTTCTGTACAGAATTTAAATTTCCATCTGTTCTTAACTGTTGAAAATCATTGATGCATTCAGTGTAATAGCAAAATGTCATTTCTGCATTCATAATCTTATAAGGTATTTAGAAGTTCTATGAAATGTAGTTAAATTATTCATGTAATACACTGATTTGTATTTTAACGTTCTTAGTCTTTAATTGATGATAGGTTCAGCAAATTTTAGAAGCTCAAGCAATATTGGTATCATGACATCAAGTTTCCAGTTCATGAAAGTGTCGAAGTGTATCCAGTTAGATTCAGTTCAAGAGGCAGAGAACCAAGTGAAGGATGGAGATGCGACTTCATATCCAGACGATCCACTACCTGGTGAGATACGAACAATTCTCATGAATCGAATGAGAAGCGATGTTACTATTTCCTTACTTATGTCGCTGCTTTTCTTTGCGCTTCATTGTACTTCAGTTTTTACTGCTGCGCAGCCTTTTTTACAAGTTTGTTTACACATTATTTTTCACAATGGACCTTTTTGAAATTTAAGTAAGTGGCTTGCAGTTTTCTAGACAGTTAATCAAAGTTATATTTTTGCAACAACTTGATACATGCATGGTTCTATGTACTTTCATAAATATCTAGATATTTCAAAACACTGCTTTCCATTTGCAATTTGATTTTGCTTTATCAATTTATCTTTTCTTCCTCAGACATTAATACTTCAAAATTAGTAGAAAATTGGTAATTTATAAGTATTTTTTTCTTCATACCACTTGTTCTCAGTAGTTTTTGATAAGTTCACCCCTTTGCTAGTTTTGCGATGGTATTTGAAGTTAGGTTTCAAGATTTATGGAATTCGGTTTTTGCAGACAGTAACATCTGTTGCTTGTATAATTTTTGGATTCATAAATCACTATTTGTACATGGAGTTGCGAACAAACACACCCTGGCGTATTTTTTCTCGACCACTTTTACGTGCTCATGAATTTTCTCAGTTTGAATCGCCTGTTGCTACTAAATTGATGCATTTTGAAATTATTCATTTTTATATGCTCGCTGTGGAAAAAAATTTGGTATATTTAATCGTTTTCCTTAAACAATTAGCTTGGTTTGTGATGATTAGTTTTTCGTTTTCTTTCTCTAACAAGAAAAGCAAGCATTTTAAATAATTTCCAGTTAGAAATATCGAGCCATGAGTGAATTTTTATCTTGGTATGAGCAGGAAAAATCAATGTAAAAACTATTGTTTTACTTATAATATTAGTTTTGTTAGATACCATTGTGCAGAATTGATTGTTTGGAATTTAGCTGTATCCATTATTAGTGGCGAGTACAGTAACGAGTAACAAGTGGACATTACATCCTTATTTTATTGCCCTTTTTGCTTTTCGAATTCTTCGTTCTGCCTTTTCTCAGCCACAGCTTGTGTTTATACCACTGGGATTTTCTTTCCTGCTGACAAAAGCAGATTTTGCTGGTTATTCCAACATTGACCTGTATTTTCCACTGTTGTTTTACACAGCAGCATTTATTTGGCCGAAAGTGGTAGAGTTTTCGCTGAAAATTAATTTCATTCTTGCATATGTTGCACCTTGGCAAATCAGGTATGGTTTTTTGCTGCTTTTATTTTCACTTGAAATTGTTTCCAGAACAAAATATATTATTGTTTGCCGTAATCGTTTCTTTACTTTGTAGTTTTCATTTTAGTGCTATTACTTGAGCTCAAAAAATTGTAATTGTTCTCAGCATGGATGTAAAGTAGTGAATGAGAAGAAAATTTGTGGAAATGTGAACAATTTTAATTCTTTCATTGTATGTTATTTTCATAGTTGGGGATCCGCATTTCATGCTTTTGCACAACCATTCAGTGTGCCACACACAGCTTTGTCATGTATTCAAATCATTTTGTCATCAGTCATATCTGCCCCTCTAAATCCTTTTCTAGGTTTTTTTTTTCATGCATCTCTTGGAAAAGTGTTTTTTCATCATATTGATATTAAGGTGACATATTTCGGTGGTCAATTTTTATGATATTAGAAAAATTATGCGCATCAGTAATTAAAAGATGTTATAAGGGAATCATTAATGTCCTCACTAAATTTAGTTTTACCAACAATTGAACTTCAGGGTCGTCGTTCTTCTTAACATCTTACGTGCGGCCAGTCAAATTTTGGGAAAAAGATTATAATACGCGTCGCGTAGATCATTCCAACACTCGTTTGATCTCACAAATTGATCGTGGACCAGTAATGGACGATAGCAATTTGAATGCTGTATTTTATGAACACTTGACCAGATCGCTTCAAAATTCTCTAGCTGGCGATATCCTCTTGGGACGTTGGTCAACGGCATTACAACCCGGAGATTGCTTCATTTTAGCTAGGTCCTTAATCACTAGTTTGCTTAAACATAAATTCATTTTATAATCTTCGCAATTTTGAACAAGGAGTCCTAATTTTTGTGTAGAGTTTTTATCGTTTTTTAGCTATTATCTGAATTGTTTGGTCCATATTATCGAAGTTGGCAATGGCTTTGTGACTTTCCAACTTAGAGGACTTGAATTCAGAGGGACTTACTGTCATCAGAGAGAGGCTAGTACTTCTTTAATCTCAGGATTAATTAAGGATTGTAACTTTGGTAGTTCATTCTTTTGAAGTTTAAATTAATAAATCTTTTCTCAGGTTGAGGCAATCAGCGAAGGTGTTGGAGAAGGCATGGGTTGTTGTTGCTGCTCAGTGAGTTCGCTCCCTGGATTGTTATCATTGAATACAGCGTGGGTTTTGCGGTGGCTTGCATGGGAAGTGGTGACAGCAAAATATATTATTGATGGTTACTCAATAACTGATAATTCTGCTGTTAACTTGCTTCAGGTTTGTATTAAGCGCAATGTTCAGAGCTCTCATTTATGGTTTCTTAACAAAATTTTCAGTGTAAAATATTTGAGGATTATTTGCTTCAGTAACAGACCCAGTCATCTCACCTCTAGCTCATGCTCATTATGTTCGGAATTAATTTTAAAGCATACTATTGAGAAGAGGACATTTTTAATATCCACTTTCGTAAATGTCTCAATTTTAGGTACATGAACTGCGTCGGCTCTTAGTCACACTTTATGTGAAAAGTATAATTTTCTATGCTCTCAATTCATCAAAATTCGTGCAGTGGATTCAGCTTCCTAGTATTGTATGTTTCCTATTTTATTTTGAAAGTAGTCATGGTTTTTTAATTAAAGATTCATATTTTTGGCCCCATTCAAATTCTCGAAGTAAAAATTGCTTTCATCACAATCGCGAAACAAATTTAGCTCGCGACTCTCCAATCAATTGAAACGAACAGTCGATATGTCGATTTGGATCCAATGTTCAACGCTGCGAATGATGAAGACTTTGATACCAATCTTATGGTTCATTTCATACGAGTGCAATTTAAATTAAACATCCAAATATTAGCTGAAAGATTTTAAGACTTCCAAAATTATTTTCGTCATTTCAGGGTGTTTCTCGTCAGTGTTTTACAGAACTTTACGAAAACTGGATACGTCACTGCATACAGCAGCAGGCAATAAACAATGAAAGTTTGTAAGTTTATATTTTTTTGTCATTTATTTTGGCTTGATTCATTTGCAACAGTTGTTTCTAATATCCACTAATCAGTTATCGGAAAACAAATGAGAAACACCCTGAAAATGAATTGTTGAAGACATGTTCGTGATATTGCAAAAAGTTTGTTGGGATTTGTATTTCTCAAGCAGTACAGGGTTGCGAAGAAGTTATAGTTATTCTTAATTTCGGCATTACTGCACTTTTCCTATTTTTAGTAAAAACAGTTACAGTAATGGGGCGGAAGCCAATATAAATCGTATCAATGCATTTTGTTTTGCTCTTTCCGTTGTTGGACGCAGAACACTTGCGGCTGCTTCACATAATCGTCATGCGAATGCTGCTGAATCATTCCTTTATGGCTTGCATACTTTATTTAAAGGCGACTTCAGGTTATTGATGGACTTTTTATATTTGGCGTCAAGCACAATATTTTAAGCCGGTTTCAGAATTAAAGGAATCAAAATGTCATGTTAGAACTGAAATTGAGACTAGATTTCATACATTTATTGTACATAAGTTATATGTCTTAGTCTTTAAAAATATTCGCCAAACGCAAAGTTGAAAATATTTTGAAGAAATCATCCGGATTAAAGATGTATAGAAATATCTGTGTGCATTGTTTCCCATATTTAGTTAGTATTCTTCAGAATAACTTGTCAGCGGGACGAATGGGTATTTGCTGATATGGATTTGTTGCGATGTGTAATTGCACCAGCAGTGCGAATGGCATTAAAATTACATCAGGACCACTTTGCCGCTGGCGATGATTTTGATAACACAACTTTGCTATATGAACGTATCTCTCATCATTTGAAAAGATTATTTATTTCTCACGAAGTTGGTTTTTATGAGTTTTTTTGGTTTTTTAAACATATTTTTCTATGTTTTTAATATACGACATTATAGCATGATGCTGCTTGGAGAAGGGCGATTATTGCAAATACACCGACTCTATTAGCTTTGCGACATATTTACGATGATGGTCAAGATGACTACAAAATTATCATGCTGAATAAGATGCATCTCAATATGAGGTATCATGATTTATTTCTACAAATAATGATTGTTTATTTCTTTGATATTCTGATGGTTAATTTTAAGAGTGATAAAACTGAATCGCGAATGTGTTCGGGCTTTTTGGGCAGGCCAGCAACAAGAGTTGATTTTCTTGCGAAATCGTAATCCAGAAAGAGGATCAATTCAAAATGCTCGTCAAGTTCTAAGGCAAGGTTTACATGTCAATAAATTGTGACTTTCCTCGGCGGACTTGATCATTTGTGGCTTGAGAGCTTTTTCTGTCATGTTTCTATTTTTTCAGAAACATGATAAATAGTAGTGCCGATCAACCTATTGGTTATCCAATTTATGTATCTCCTCTTACTACTTCTTTCACTGATTCACATCCACAGATACGCTTATTAAGTACACCACCAATAACGTTGGAATATCTGACGCGCCTACTTCATTCTTTATGGATTTCACTAAGAACGCATTTCGGTACGAGTAGAAGCAGTAATGTACCAGCTCAAGTTAGTTTACGTTCAATCTTTTTAGAATTTAAAAAGATTATAAAAAAGTATAATATTATTATTCCATTATTTTAGAATTTGAATTCGATGGAAAAAGTAATAGTAATTTCTGTGGTGTTCGGAATAATAATATTTTACATGTTGTATGTGATTAAAGTCATTGACATTTAAGGATTGAATTAATAGAATTATAAAGAAATTTGAACTCGTTCATGAGCCCATAGAATTTTATGATAAACATTCTAGTTCGTAACAACTGGAATATCTACAAATGCTATGCGTACTAATCCTAATCACGAGGGACTAAGTAATGTAATACACTCTGATGCTGCTCCTATTTTTTCTGCGATTTCAACGGTTAGGAATGTTCAGACTTGCAGACAGCGGTATGGATCTGAATTCCCACCATCTTCCGTGAGTGTGATTTTTTTAATATAGCTTTTTATAAAGTGCGTATTTGAAATCACTAGTTTTTGCCCTTTAAAGTTGAGTCTCGGTTAGTTTTGTTATGTTTTCTCCCTCTTCGTGTTTCTTGATTTCCATTATTTTTTTCCAGAGCAACTTGTGTCTCCTCTAGTTTTATTAAAATTAACTTGTAGGAAAACTGCATTGTTTCGGTCGCATCCGATGGAGCTTTTGAAGTAGCCCTGTGTCGCGATGCTTTGAAATCTGTCAATGCAGACGAGTCTATAGAGTTAAATAATTCTTCACGTGACTCCTCACAAGATCAACAAACATACTATGCCAGAATTACTGATATAGAGCAGGTTACTAAAATATATGATATTACTGATATAGACCAGACTATTAAAATCTATGATTTAAATTTTGGATTCAACATTAAGGACGACTTGCAAAATTTGGATTCAATTCATTGGTTATCATGAACTAAGTATTTGAGTTGTTGCGGTCTCCTAATATTAAGATTATGGAGCGGATGGAAGCTCTTAGGGTTCACTTTTTTAATCATCCTTGCTCTTAGCTATTTGTAACTGTTTACTGATCAGGGAGATTACATGAAAATCACTAATCTTTGCAGTTCACTTTATGAAGTATACACGGCAGTCAATAATGAAAGCCTCTTATAGAGTCATATCCAAGATGACTCGTAATATCTTGATGAATATTTTTTTCTCAGTTTTTCAGTTTAAAGTAATGTCAAGTGGCAAGTTATGAGCATTCTATGCGTTATGCATCTGTGGGTAGTAGAGTGATTTTACAAAAGATTTTTAAGTGTTAAACTGTTTCTTTGTCTTTCGTGTATTTTTCTCCTTGATAGTATGATAACCTAAACTGTTGGGAAGGAGTGCAATTTCCTTTATCACTTGCATTCTTTTGCGGTTCTGCCAGCACTACTTGCACTTACTTTTTAGATTTTCACGTGTCTAGATGAACCCTTGAAGTCAACTGGTGAACCATTAGTTATCTGGCCAAATGCTCAATGGCAGTTACTCGGTGGTCGTCGCTCATGGAATCTGATGCCATTTAAAGGACATCGTGGAAAAGTTGTGCACAAATGGGTCCCCTTCCATCCACGCCGTGAGCGGCGATCTCATGCGGGCACTATATATCTAGTGAGTAAATTAAAATTTCGAAGTACATTTCACATTACTTCAATATAAATTTCCTTACTGATACTCATCGCCCACCAATATACATTTTTAGATCCAAAGCTTGCATATCTTGTACTTACTAATGCTGTTCATTCCTATTCTACAGGATATTCAGACATAATTTTCAGCTTAGTGTGAAAGAAATGGATGGTTGCTACGTTCCTGTTGGTGAAGATGGGATAGAGTTCATATCGAAGGAAGAATATGATTGCGACTTAAAAACCGAAGCTACAGCGCAAATTGAATTGTCAAAAACCTAATAACTGCTTTCAAGTAACTGCAAATCATGAAACAATGCCTGTATCTAATAATCTCCTCACGACGACGCACTGTATATGATATCCCCAAACACTTTAAAGCTGCTTTTTTAGATAGTTTATTACGAAAAACTTTTTAATTTCAATAGATTACTGGAAATGTATTTGTACGTCAGTTTGAAACATGTAAAAGTAATGTATGTTTATTTCGAGATCTATTTTACTGGTTATATCAGACTTTATTGTTAAGTGTCAGCAAATTTTCATCAGAATAAATTTTTTGTCTGACAGAGTATTAATTTTTTCCTGACTGGTTTACATGATTATTGGAATCTTGCGAAACTAGAACTTCCTATCATGTGTTCAACACAAACGGTTATGAGTATATTAAATGTACGCGCACCATTCGATTTAAATGTAAATGCATAGTCAGCTTAACAAGAAGTCTTTAAAAGTCCGAGCTCTGTGTGAAAGTCGAGAAAAGGAGAAATAGTTTCCCTGATACCTGTAGAGATACAAAGCACAAACAAAACAGCATTACAACCATGATAATACACGCACGAAATAAAGTGATTTTAAAAACTCTAAACTGAATAGGTGTAGGTGACGTCAAGGTTTGTCGATGAATGGCCTTTCAGCTTTTTGAAATATTTTGCTCTATGCATTGCAATTTGATCTAGATCAAACAATCATTTCAGATGAGACAAGATATTAAAGAGCGACCGAGATGAAAGACCACACAGCAAATTCATAGTAGTTAAAGATGGCAAATGATATTTGGGAATTTTTTGACAAATTTCTAATAAGGAATTCTCGAGCGATAATGTCATAGTTGCCGAGACCATAGTTTATGTAATTCATGCAAGTCAACTTAGACCAAGTGGAAGGCATTAGTGGAGACTTATTATCATTGGTACTATGTGGGATAAACTTAATTACGGATTTCTCCATCACAGAAATATTTACCAGAGAAAACTTTTTTGCGCACCATAGATAAGTGATACAGATCATCGCCCGCAATTTGAACATCTATACCGGAAACAGATGCATTTGATGTCTGTAAACAACGACATGAAAATGACGACTAGCGATTTGAGTCTCAGTAAAACCAAAAATGGAACGGAACCATAAAGGACAGGGAATTGGGCTTACCTGAAACTGAACAAACGTTTGAGAAGCAGTTGCAGGACCACTAGAAAGTGACAATCTAGCTTTTAATGATCCGGTACCCTCACCATCTCGAGAAAGCTCTGTCAATTTCCAAGATATCGTATTGCTGGAAGGCGACCTGAAAACATTTTCAAATTCATACGCAAGAAATTTTGGTCACTGAAAATCATAATGACAATGAAATTTTTACTACTGATAAAAAAAGTACAAACTTTTTTATATATTATATATACACAGCAAGATTACAAACCCCAATATCATGAACAAAAGGTCCTATTAATTTAGTCAAAAAAAAGAACAGATTTACAATATTACAATAATTTAACTTCAAAAAATTCAATAAACATAATGAACATCTCTGTGTATTATTTTTACTACAATTCAAAGACTTATATTATTTGCATTAAAAAATCAAGGCTTTCTACAGACCACCAGAAAAAAAAAACAACTTACCATTCTGCTTTGGGATCAGCAATAACGTTTGCCACACAACCTTCCACTTTTGTAGTGAAAATAACATTCAGAAGAGAGCAGTCAACACTACTATCCTTATTTAATCGATAATCTATTCTTAAATCTGTATTTTGTGATTCCAATTTCCAATATGCAGTCAAAAAAAGAGGTGGAACTGTAGGTTCCTTGACTTCATACTTCAAAATCTGAAATGAAAGAAAATAACTGGCCGGACTCAAAGCATTATTTGAAAACGAAAATAAGTAAATGAGTTACTTCTACATTGAAGAACTGCGAATCCGGTTTTTCAGTTTTACGTAGGGATAACCATTCGGCTAGCTGAGTCTTTTCAAATGCAAACGTGTGCTGCGCAGCAAATGCATCATTAACTTGTGACACCAACTGAATATTGTCGAATAAAATAACAAAAACAATGATACCAATTTTTATTTTGGATTATGAGTGAAATGAATGAACAGCCAATTTTATGGGCGGAATGAGAATCACCATAGAAACAGAGTTATGAATGCTACTTTACTGAATAAATGGTAGATCCAGTTCGAATACTACATAATATTGTTCACGATATTACCTGATTGTTAGGCAAGATATTTCTGATTTTATCGGTATTCTTCAGCGTTATAATAAGAGGATCAATATCAGAATTTAAATCAGTCAAAGATGGAACTACGTTTGCTGGAAATGATACCAGAACTGAACCGAAGACTCGAACCGTCGTTCTGAAATAAAATTTAAATTCGATAAAGCAAACTTATTCTTGCACATTTTTTGGGAAAAAATCCGAAAAACTGCCAATTAATCTAAGTGATCTTACTTTGCAGTGTCTGCACTCTTGAACCATACATGTACATACTCATTGAATGCCATAGCGATTGGAATACGATTCTCGGCTATGGCAGCTGAAGCGCTCAATAAATTCGAAGTTGATACAGTAAAGGGTATTTCAGAAGTTGAAGATCGCTCCCAAGATAACATGGACTCACCTCGGGAAAATGTATATTCATTTGGTGGTGAGTCCTATAGAACAGCAATAAAAAACGTAAAATTATAGACTGTTGTAAGCTTAATGGCTTAATGATGCAAAATAGTTGAAAAAAGATACGAAGAGTCAAAAATATTTCGAACAATAAAAGGTGCAGATTACTCAATTTGAGTTAAAAAGAACTTACATTATAAGACGCTAAAAAGATTATATGACAAGCTTCAATACCTTTTTAGACGCTATATGACTCCCAGAATAACCACACATTTGTAACGCTAAGCTGGATGTTCCTGGCGTTGGAGTACTACTGCTGTGTGGTCGAGCTCGAACTATACTTGAGCCAGACATTGAAACAGAAAAAGGCAAAGACGCATTATAGGAATCTAAAAAATAACACGGAACATGCTCTGTATCACAATATATTTTTCATTTTGTCATTGATTTTAATATTCAAACTTTATAATTGCTTATCAAACTCCAATTATCAATCATTCAGTATTAAGTACCTAACTGTTTTCCGCGCAAGTAATCATCACCAGTAAGAGCAGCTCGTAGGGGCCGAACAGTTCTTTCTATACTTGTACTGAAAGGTGTCAATCGACGGGAAGATGACCACGGATCCTGGATGAAAAAAAGAAACAAGGATAAAACTTTGAATAAACTATAAATTAAGGAAAAAAAAACATACACCATCAAATGTACTACTTCTGCTAAAAGTTGTAGAATTTATGACGATATTCCCAACAGCATCCCGAAGCTCATCAACGGATGCAGTGATGTTGCCTTTGGACTCATTTAAAGGCTTTATACTCATATGACGCAATTTAGCTGCTTGCTGCACATCATCATCATCATCTGAAATTGCAAAAAATAGAACAGATTAACTAAATTGTTTATTATTTCTTTTAAGAACAATCCTATCATAAACTTGCCAGAAGATTCAGTGCAGCTACTCCAATGTGAATGACTGAAGTTATTATCACCACCAGTACCTTCATCATCACCATCATCTTCATCATCATCTTCAGGAGGAGGGACATTTGGTGGAGGTGGTGGCAAGGCTGTGGATAGATCCAATATATTCATAGAGCCATTTGTTGTAACGAACTAACAATAATAAAATTTATGATAAAAGTGCATACATGTCATGCCGCACAAAATAATTTACTACTGGAAATACATAAAAATTTTCTGTTCAAAATTCGAATTTCTTGCAACTAAAATACAAAAACTCACAGGTTTATCCTCGCTTTTGCTACTTGCAGTACTTTTTGAGTCTTCTGTGCTGAAAAATCAAATTATAAGATAAATCAGTTACTTAATCAACACCATTCAACATAATATCAATGTAATACAACTCAAAAATAATGTTGTAGGTAAGGCTAATGCAATATGAATAACAAATTGTGAGAGCAGTCGATAAGTAAGCATCACTTTCATATCATGCAATTTGAAACAGTTTTTTAGGCCTCCTAGAGATTATATAGCAATTCCGCTAATTATTAAAAATCAAAGTTAATGTCAACAATAAACTGTATTATGATAAAAAGAATAATACAATTGTACACAACATACGTGGGGCCGTCAGCATATGACACAGTGAGGTCGGTATTTGATTTCTTATGCTTGCTACGATATTTCTTTAGAAAACCTAAATACCACGCAATTACAAGACAATACTCAAATTTAAATCTGTTAATGAAAAATATAAGTAAAGGAAAATAACCTAAGGAATCTGGCTGGTTGTGGTTAAATTCCTGATGAGAAAGTTCCGTTGATAAACTGCTTTGAGAAGCGTATTTCTTTCTTTTGCCGGGCAACCACAAGGAAAGCTTCTGTCTTCCTAACGATGCAGAAAATGGTAATGCTCCAACACCAGCATTGGCGGCAGTTGATGAACTGCTATCGCTGGCAACCGGAGAAGGCTATAAAATACAACTGCTTGTGCCTTCTTTTTATTTCATTAAAAAATTTTCTAATTATATATATGGCAACCTTAGACATGGAACACCAACCTGAACTCTTGTACTACTATTTTCATTATTCCATATATCTAAGGAATTTGCATCAAGAGAAAACAAATTCTGTCCTGTACTAGGATGAACTTCTCCAGCACATAAAGAATGCATGACCGTGGGTGAATTTGATGAGGATGACGCAGATACAAAATTTGACACATTAATATCTTTGGAAATATCGATTTCTTCAAATACAGCAAATTCTGTAAAGATAAGATTTCTGATTTCTCTAAAAAGTAAGGGATTATCTTTAAATTAAGACTTGTGCTGACCATGATTTAGCACGAAATATTTGTTTAAAAATAAATGCATTTTAAAAAATATTTTTTCAGAAAAGATTTTCTGCAACAAGTCAGTACCTGGTCGATCCTTTCCCGTCCCTTTCGCTTCAACAAAATTGACCAGTATCTCATTAACGTCAATTTTATCTACACAATCTCGATATTGAGCACAAACCTTCAAATTTAAAAACATCATGGCTCACTGGAAAAAGAGATTTTAAATAAGATTGTGCCAAACAAGTTGTATTGAATTCCTTACCTGTGATGCAGCACATGTAGATTCGTCTAGTGCACGCGCAAACCCTGCCATGAATGTTTTCATCTGAAGCAGAAAAGCCTGATCATGTTCTTGAAATAAACGAGTTGCTTTGATCATTTTTTCTTCAAAATCATCTCGTACACGTCCATATTTCTCAACATAACTTTTATATTCCTCACATGATTTGTTTAACTTGTTCTCTGCCTGTAAACTATATAATTACGCAAGTTACTACATACGTTTCTCATAGATACCCATTTTTCACGCTATTACTTTGTTTCAACTAGTAGACATTACACTATACGCTTGACATGGTGATAAATTCCTCTCATCATTCTATGAGCCAAAAGAGCGAAATAATAATAATAATAATAATCATAACCACATCAATCAGACCTTTGCGATTTCTTTTGATGTAGCATTCTCTTTTTTTAGACGTTCAAACTCATTGACCCGCTGAACGTATGTTTCTTTCGACTAGAAAAAAAAAAGATAATTTATCGTCCTACTAGAGCATAAAACAACTATAATAACCTGATATAGTTAGTTTCAACGAAATCAGTAAATCAATATTCACCTTCTGTAAACATGTAGTCGTGGTTTGCATTAAATTCACAGCGTCTACAAAATCTTGCTCCTTCATTTTTTTTCGTGATCGGACCAAATCATCGTGATATTTGAAAATCTGAAAAGACAGCCTGCTAAACTCAAGATCTATCAAACTGCTCACTATTATAGCTTTTAGTAATATTCTTTTTAATTACAAACGTCTTTCAATAAATGCTGCAAGGAGAAATAAAATGATGCTTCTATTCCCAACAAAAGCTCCATCGTATTTTTTGTTATAAGCCATGCACTTGAAAACATTGATCCCGGCACAGTCAAACCATTAGCCTGAAAATCTTCCATTGTTTTTAGCTTTATTTTTTTGTGACTGAAGATTTCAAGACTTTTTGATTGAAAGTAGTAATAAAAACTGAATGTAACTTCAAATCTTAAAAAACTATATTAAAATTCAAGACATAAAATTACTTTTCTGACATGTAATCGTAGATTTTGCATTACCGACAACGAAAAATGACATAAATTTAGATGGATATTTACACTGAACAATAATAAGCTTTCAAACCACGATAATTTTCGAAAATTACTACTTTAGTAACACATTTGTTCAAAAACTTGTTGCATTCCTCTTCATATCCTGCTCTTTCTTTTACAAACTGTATCAAATCTTGGACAGACTCTTCTTCATGTTTCAGGTTCTCGTACAGTACATGATACCCATGATGTTTCTGACCCTGAAAAGATTTATTTCGAATATGATATTTTAAGTAAAAGTCATGACTTCAATATTTTTGCAACAAAACTAAGTTTCGGAATATATTAATACTTAAGTAATGTAAATAAAAGTTATTGATGAACAAAGGCTTTACAAAGAATTTATGTCCATTTACACAAAGCATCATGAATTATGATAAAAACTGTATTTTTGGACATGAAAAAAAAAAATGTATTCCTGAAAATGATTTGAAGCAAGCAAACGCAATAATTAGATTTTTAATTTTTACTGCTTCCTAAAGTAACCTTCAAATTTAAGCGCACGAATGCATTTTTGTTTCAAAATGATTTGCAAATTAAAAAATCAAATTAAAAACGAGATACCAGTGCTTACCCAAAAATGTTTCGTGTAGTCAGCTGTTGCAGAAGCCATGCTTAATTTTAATAATTTAACAGAACTAATTTGTAACGAACTGAAACATTCTTTTCATTTTCCAGAATACTTTATACTCAGATTCTTAGACACAATACTTTTTATCTAGATTCTTAGACCTGAAATTTGACTGCGATATAAAGTCATTGCAGAACAAAATAATTTATTTTACAAGAATCAAGGCAAAATAAGATTGGGAAACACTATTCTTATAATCTGATTACATGAATCTTGTCAATCGAAATATCCAAGCTTATTGCAAATTTTTAGGAAGTCTGTAGTTGATGAAAGTATTCACAGAAGTTTGAAAGAAGTAATTTATTTCCATTATTGCTAGAATCATAATTCCATGAAGTTCGTTCTACAGAATTTGTCTTTTTTTTTTTGTCACATAAATGAAGTGGTATAAAATTTGCAGCAACTTTAAACAAATGCACTTTTTTTCTACAAACTGTTGAATGTATTGAAGAACCAAAGAATTTACAAACAAAACTATATAGCCCATATTCGAGAATCCACTATTATCAAAATAACTACATGTATCAATTCATAACATAAATTTGTTGAAAAAGCATAATGCTGATAAATTTATAGGAATGATAACAAAGATATTTTTGGACTAAATCTGAAAATTAAAACTTTGCAATAAAACTTTTTCAATCAATAATTTAAAGTTAATAAAAGTAAATTTATGAAAAATAGACAATTATTATTATTTAAATTTTTTCTTGATTAATATATTATGTACAAAATTAATACTTCTGCTTTCATTCATTCATTCATTCATTCATCCATTCATTCATTTATATTAATACATACATAAAAGAGTACAAATTTATACTTAAGAACTTAAATACATATTATCTTTTCGTTCATCACAATTTCTGTTATTTCGAAAGTAAAACGATACTTATAATTAATGAGATGAATAATTAATACAAATTACGATTACGTGATACAAACAGACAATAATAAAAGTTAAATAAAATGGAAAATATTGCAATGCAATGAAACTTTGAGAAGAGTTATTTCAATATGACTCAAATCGATGTGAATGTTTTTGGGCAGGCAAACATCTACTTCCATTAATAGTTTACTCTTCTGTCTTCTTGCAATTCATAACTTTCTTGCTAATCATAAATTAATTGCCTTATTTTTGCAGAATAATTCAATGCCTCAAAGATTTAAGACAACTTTACTTTTCTTTCAATGAAAAGTAACAAACACTATTGGACTAACCGTAAAATGTGCGAAACCAGTTGATACTCTGACAATACCGAATTACTTACTCATTCAACAATCATTATCATTTTTTTATAGTAATAATGATTATTGAAGTACACGTGAAACATCTTAAATTTGCAATGTATTGACTAAGTAATTTAATACAGTGTAAATTTTTATTTTTGTAATACTTTCATACAAACCAATTCACTCTGCTCTTTTGTTTTTCATTAACGCTCAAAAATTAAATTATGTTAATTGTTTGAGAGAGAAAAAAAAAATTATGATAAGTGTTATCAAATTTATCAAGAACTTACTTTTTGTTTCTTTTTTTATCATCAAAAAATATTACTGCAAAAAAGTATTTATTAGTAAATTAATGATCCAAAATTATGATAAAATTAAGAGTTCACTACAAATGGATGCAGGTATTAGCATATGTTTGAGTCAACTCAGTTATACGTGGCAATTATCATTTCATTCATTATTTTTCAAACTTAACTATAATATTTATAGTTCTTATTAGTATCATTATTCTTGATACATTTGGTAGTAATTAAACTTAGCTAATATAAATATATATGACAATGAGAGAAAGCCATTGATAAAATAAAGCAATTTAGTAATTTTAAGTTTTTTTTTTTTGAAATATTACGTTTGGTTGAAAGTGCTTTTGTTAACGTTTTAAAGGTCATATTTTATAGTCGTAAAAAAAATTTTCTAAAGCAATAGAATTTTGTTCTAATATTTATAAAATGTGTATCATTTTTTGAGATAAAGATTATAACGCATTCTCCAAATTACCAAATACATGCCAACACATAATCGTTATTATCTGCTCAACACTGCTAATTGCTAACAATTATTGAGAAAATAGCGCTATTCATTCCATTACTAATAGCAAAAAGTAGTTAGCGCAATTTTCTGAGAGACCAATTTTGGAAAAAACGTCTGAAAATAAATTTTACAACATGCTCTTTAAATTAGTTTGTTATTTACAAACTAAGCACTTGTTTACGTAATAAATTACATGTTTACGTAATAAATTGATCGTAATAAGATAACAAATTAGTTGTAGTATATTTAATAAATAAAATGAATGAATAAAGAATATGCAAATTTTCACAAGGCATTTTCTATTTTTACTTCTTTTTAAATATTTATAAATTTATCACTATCAAATGATAATCATTTTTTATAGAGTAATGAGTGTAAGTAGCAATAAATATGGATATTAAATAAAAAAACGTGTAGTAAGGAAAGACAAAACAGCATGCTGTAGAAAGAGTAAACGAATGTAATTTAAATTTAAACTCAAATTTGTACTCGTATGATCTCTTCGAAGCATTCTGTGTGAATTTGTGTAAAATTTATCAAGAAATATGCGATAGTTTCTTTCGATAATTACAATGCATTAACAATAAGGACAGAAAACATTCACTTATCTTTTCTTACATCTATCTATCCATTGATCTATTCTTTCATCTATCTATCTATCTATCTATCTATCTATCTATCTATCTATCTATCTACCTATCTATCTATCTATTTATCTGTCTATCTATCTTATCAATGAATGCTGTGAATTTTTCTATTTTACATCAAGGAAATAAGTGCAACTTTTCTTCAATTTTCAGTACAATTTTCATTCAGTTCATTGTACTCATTTAAAAATTGGTTATAGCAGCGCAAAAATAATAGATAACGCATTCAGTGTATACAATTGTGGTATTTAGAAGCAAACAAGCAGTTTACGTCTAATATTATTGCACTTAAAAGTGGAATAGATTTTCATTTTAATTCATAATGTGTTTATAACCATAATTTTAATTTTATTTGGTGAAAATTTTCTCTGAACAACTGTCAAGTTTTAACATTCAAATAATAATAATAATAATAATAATAATGTTTAAAAAAACACTTCAATCATCAGTATAATCTTTCATAAAATGTTAACTGTGAATTTTTTTTTCCTCAAGTGAGGAAAAAAAGTATTGCTTTTTATCGCTGAAAACAAAAGTATATGGATCAATTGCAGCAGTACTAGACTGAAATGTACTTACAATAGTAAGTATTGTAAGACAATAATCATTGTTTGATTATGCAAAAGATACGAGATATAAATAATGAAAGAAAATAGTGATTTTGCAAAAATTATAAAGTGTAAATAATAAAAAGTACCTTCAAAATATTCACAAAACTTTGTAGAAACTTTAGCATTTACTAGAATAATTTTTCTTTAAAAATTTGAAAGTTTAAAATTAAGTATTCTAAATTGATAGCAAATTTTATTCACTTATAAATGAAGAATAAAGAATTATTTACACAAAATGAAAATGTAAATCAGTGCTGAAAATAATCTCGAATCATGTCAGATTTGCATTAATAATGAATTAAATACTGATTTTGTCCTATATTTTTACAATTAAGATCATGCACACTTTTTAACAATTATCAAGTTATTATCATTTTCATGTTACTCAAAACACTTTATATATGTTATTTATATTAAGTACACAATTACTTTGTTATTAATTTCATGAATCTTTTAATGCCCAATTTTAAATGAATTTTAATTTTCCTTTTAATTAATCAACTTTTAACCTTTGCTACCTTCTCTTATGTAATAATAGATAATTAGTAATATCAAATATCATTTTTGACAATTATTCAATATTTATTCCTTGATGTTCAAATTTTCAAATTCAGAAACATATTAGTTTATGAAAGATAAAAAAACTTTCAATAAACAATTTTAAGCAACTTATAGAAATGAAATTGAAGTCACTTCATACATAATACTTAAAAACTTGAGTCTTATCAATTGTTTACCAATTTGTTTTTTCTTAAGCAATACTTATTTATTTATTTTAGAAAAAAAAATAGAAGCAAAGAACTTCAGGTTTTTCGTACAATATTCTCATTTATTTTTATTGTAAAATAACTGAATTTTGTAAATAATTTTTGCCAAAATTGTCAAAAACGTTGAATTAATACTTAGATGTGATTGTTGTGATACAATTCTCTTTTTAATTATTTAGTCTATGTAAGAATATAAGAATATAGCTTAAAACATTTTGACTAATTTTATATTTAAAAACAGTCATCAAAAAAGAAGTAGTGAAATTAAACAAGTATGGTGGTACAGTACAAGATTACATTGCACTTTTAAAAAAAAGTGTGTTAAAATTTTTTGATAGAATTGAAAGTACTTGCGCGAAATGTAAATCATTTAATAAAACAATGTTTAATGATGTTAAAATGAGATACGCCTTCTAAAACTGTGTGCTACTTTTAATTTTATATATTTCATCTTTTGTTAGTATCTTTTCTTCTAATACTTTAACTTTTACTGTTAATTTTCACTTAAATTAAAGTGCATACTATATTTTATACTTTACCAATCATTTTAATTCTTTTTCTATTGTTTAAATAATATAATTAAAAAAAATACGCCATATTAAACGCGAATGTTTTCTGATTCCCTTCGACATCTTACGCCAAGAGACAAGATTTCGTGCTGCAGAAAATTTCTACAATAAGTCATTAACTGTATGCATAATTCTTCTTTACAACACAACTAATGCTTATAGCTATTTATTGAGATTAGGTTTAGTCAGTTATTTTAATCAAAACTATAACTTACTTACATTACATTTACACTTTAATTTTTATTTATATTACGATCAGAAACTGATTTATTATAATTGCTTATATCATTTATGCTCGAAAAAAATTCAATTTTTTGATATTTGCATACAAATCTGTTAGATAATAAATGACTTCTTCTAGTAGTAATAAATGCGCTTATCAAATTTAATCAGAAAAAACAAAAACATTTAGATTGCTCTAATTTTTTATAATTTTATAGTTTTCTTTGGTACGCAATTAAGATTGCATTTTTTTTTCCAATAACTAAATAATGCATTGTTGAAAATTTGGAAAAAAATTCTCATGATTTTGCATAAGTATTATTAATTGAGCATAGCCATCAAATCTTGTTTAAGTCAATAAAATTATTACTTGATCCAATAAGATTTGATGCAATTTAATTTGATTTTATCTCAGTGTTTCTTACAATCATTGCTGTGATGTTTTCATAAAAACTAGTTCTACTTGATACTATTTAACGCAATTGCAGTTAAACACAAGCTCATTATGAATAATCTTGCAAACTGGTCATATATAGATTGAAGTATTTTTATTTTTATCATTGTTTTGATAAGTACTGATAACATAAAAAGCCAATAAAATAAATGCTCTTCTTGCTTTACTTATTTTTTGATGTTATGACTTTAAAAGCATTTTTTCACTATAATTATATCTTCTGACTAATTATTATACATAAATTTTTGTTCAAAATCATTCAATTTTTATTAAAAAAACAAACTTTTATTCAGTTTTAAAATTAAAAAAGTAGAAAAATGTTAAATAATTCGAAAAGGCAATGATGATATAATTGTTGATAGATTCGTGCATGAAAAATTTCATTGATGAAAACACAAAGAAATGATTGCATATCATTTTTAATCTCAAACAATGATTTATTTGACTTTTCTTGTGCAAGTACTACATATTGTCGTGATCAAATAAATAAAATTACAAATAAATAAAAAAATTTTTTTTATTTGTTGCAATTCATTTTGTTTGTATAAAATTTGAATTAAATTTAAACAATTTCTGTTACAGCAAATGTAAGAAAAATTTGATTGCACTGTTTACACCATTTGTTGTTGTTGACTGAAAAATGAAAAGTAAGAGATTTTTAAAATACAATATTCAAACTTTGACATATATACCTGTACTATTGAAAAAAAACATTTTGTAAGAATAAAAAATTTTTAAATTTTTATTCAAGAAGTGCAAATTTTCAGTTTATTTTGTCTCTCTACAGAAATAAAAAAAGTAAAAGTAAAGGCAGAAAAAAAGACTTAAAAATGTAATTTTAAGTACAATATTATTTGTCTGATTAAAATGGACAGTGTAGGAATTAATTCAACAGTACTTACATCAATCAGTCGTGTACTATAATTAATTAATTAATTGACTTACTGCGAAAAATTGACAAAATTTAATGCAAACTCGCAATCTAGTTTTTAGATTCTAAGATACAATCACTGATTAACAAGTTAATCCAATTCAGTCATGTCCTATTGCATAAAAATAAACTACTATCTTGCCTTATCATTGATGTAATGACTAATTATACATCTATTTAGACTGTTTTCAACGATATTTTATTTTATTTCTAAACTTTTTATACATTTTCCATCGCAACTTTTGTGTACAAACTTCTCTACACCATTACTTTACTGTCAATACGCATAGTAGCATCTGTGATTTTTTTTCGCTCAAAATTCCTTTTCTTATACATTTTCGATTGTAGAAACAATTTGCATTCTATTTATTTACTTATTTTTTGCTGTATGTTTGCTTTTTTATAGACATGCAATTTTCAGTGTATACCAAAATCAATTGAATGTATCAAGAATTGATTATATATTGCGTGTTGTTTAGAGAAAATTTTAAAAAGCTAGTAACGTTTATATTTTAGCATTTCATGGTTTGATAAGCTCTATGAATATCAGATTTCAATCGAAAAATTCATGTGAAATTTCGATATAAATGAGTTTATAACAATAAAATTTTGATTACGTGTTTTTAAGATATATGAAATGAAGAAAAGTCAGATACAGTAATTTTATTAAACAATTTTAGGTTCTGAAATAGCCTGTAATGTTAGTTCTCTGATAATTATTCACATATTTAATCTAATTGAGAGTTTTTTTGTAACTCGTAATATCTGGAACTACGTACTGCCTGCAAGAGATGAACCTATACCTTAATAATTGCTTTCATTTGTTGAAATTTGTGAAAACATAAGTTGCATAACTTATGGTCAAAACTAACTCGACTGCACTTGCAACTTATATTAATTCTTCAATTTTAATTTTTAAAATTAATGCATCTTATTTTTTAATAATATAGGCATGTTCGTGCTATACTGTTTTCTTTCAAACTTTACAACAACAACAAAAAAGTCGACATAACAGAATGGAAAACTATTTATTTGTAAACATTACTGCATAATTTAAGACTAAATAAGCAACAAATACTTATACTTAATAAATTGTAATCTTCACATAAATGATAATATTAGAGATTAATTTTTGGTTAAAAATACTAAAATTAGGAATGCATACGAATAGGAATTATTCTCACAAACAGTAACTACTACTAACACTGAATGCAGAATTTCTTGAAAGAAAAGTTATGTTTGCTTGTTTGTATTGTGGAATAATTTTAAAAATTATTGCAGCATACAGTTTTATCTGTCTATATTTGCAACCTTTTGAGGCAAATATCTTTCATACAATTTCTTTCTTATGCTATATTTTAAGAATTTTTCAGCTAACATAAATGCACGTTCTTCTATATAAAACATATATTTCAATCAAATTTTTGTAGCACTTAAAGAAATTCATACATTACTTTTCCACATCTTTTTCTTCTTTGAAAGGTAATTTTGAATTATTTGTTACTATTTCAAAATGCAAATTGTTTATTGTCACTAAAATGATTACTTGACAAAATATTTAAATTATAATTAGAGAAATGCACTAGTTAAAAGTAAAAACTTGACTGCTTATTAATAGTTAGCAACATTAAAAATATGCTTGAATTATTTCTGCTTTCAGTTTTTGTTACAATGTCATGAAAACTAATTTTTAACTGCAAATTTAGTCAACTGTAGACAAATTTGATATATAAATAAAACTAAATGATAAGAAAGTATTATTTTCTTACGTATTTCGGAAGTTCAACTTTTTAATTTGAAAATCGCTACATAAATCATTCGCCCATTATAATGCCATTTTTTTCTTGCTATCAGTGAACTGTTTGAGGTAGCACCTGTAATGGAACATCATCATCATCATAATCATATAAATCAAAATATACATGATAATAATGCTACTGACCATTCCGGACATGCTCATAGTGGTCATTCTATGTCATTTCATTTTGGTTACAACGAAATTGTACTGTTCGAATTTTGGGTTATCGATAGTTTTATTGGTTCGTTTCTCAGTTATAAGACTGCGATAAATAACTACTTAAAATATATATAAATTAATAATTTTTTATCAAAAAAATATCATACAAACAAGTTACTGCAAACTTGACCGAAACCAAACATCTTAGATTATCAGTTGATTTTATCCTTATTTTTCTTTACTTTGTTTATCACACTTATAAATCTTCATAAAGTTTTAATGTCATTTGTAAATATGAAAATGAATTTAGGAATGACAATTACTTGTGCAATTACTATTCTTCTATGCTTTATAATGGAAGGCATTCGATGGTTTCGAGGAGTCCGACCGCCTTATAATGTGGATTTGCACACGGAGCAATCATCTGTTGCAAATATTAAGTTTGTATTTCTTAGATTTGACTAAATTACTCAGTTTTTAATCCATCTCTGAAATTTTTCAGATAAAATTGTTACAAGTTTGCTTCAATCTGAAATTAACAAAAGTTTCAGATTTGCTCCACACATCACGTCAGCCATTTGCACAGATGCCTTTCTTCATGCTATTCAGCTAACACTTAGTTACATTCTTATGCTATTATTTATGACTTTTAACACATGGATTTGTATAGCGACTGTTGTAGGTGAAGTATTTGCTAGGCTTACATTTGCTGTTGTATTCAGTGAAAATCCAATAAACAAAAATGTAAGTTTTGTCAAGAATTAATCTTTTATTTGTATTATTAAATAAATGCAAAAACTAGGATAGACAAGATTAGAAATAGAAATTTGTACTATTTCTGTTTCAGTTCAAATTTTTTCAAAACATTAACGATAAATTTTTTTTTCTTTCTTTTTTTCAGAATAAAGTGGACGTGGGATGTTGTAATTAAACTGAAAAACGTCAATATTCGCATTAGATCGCAATTTTCAATGAAAATGAGAAATAAAAAAACTTTGTCAACAACTTAGTGAAGTTGTATTACTACATTCTTTAATGACAGTAAGAATCTCTGCTGAGGTCTTACATTTTGCTCATTTTGTTTGTAAAATAATCGTTCTACGTAGTTATATGCATGATAAATAAGCATGCAAACAATTATTAAATTTAAGAAGTAAAAATTATTTTCATTAGAATGAGAATAATAATGAAAACCTAAGGTAACACTGACAAAAGTATAATACTGAAAACTTTTATTTGTATTTTATTAATATGCACATGAAAAGTTAGTTGGAATGATAGCGGGTTTTCCTACGTGACTGGGAAGTGATATAGAAAGCACAGTTTAAACCATAATTTATTACTTCTTTAACTTTTACTTCATGAACTGTTACACTATAACTTTTACATTTCTTTAACCTTAACAGATTAAATGTTTCAGTAACAACGTAAAATGCGACATTTTGATAACCAATACATATTGGAGATTAAGATTCTAATTTTATTCATCCATTGATTTGAATAAGACCAGATAAATATGGCAAAAAAATCATTATAAGTACATTTTGATAAACAAAGTCTTTTAGTTTTTAGTAAGATTACTAGAAAGGTTTGAAATTAATTGTTTAATAAAAAAATATCCATCATTAACAGCGAGCTTTTCTAATGCCAAAAATAAATTTTGAGTAAAATAGTTCCACTATCATTAAAGTAAAGAAAGTAAACAAAAATAGCAATTTATAATAATAGATATCAGAGTTACTTTGTTGTTGTGACATTTTGTTATGGATTTACATTTCACTAAGACATTAGGAATCTGAAATTAAATACATCTCTATCAAGTCAATACTAATCTTGATAGCAATCAATCACTAGAATATTATTAATATTTATCTATATCAATAGATATTCCAAACTATCTTATTATCATTTTAATACTCGATTCACTTGTTTTTTAGTTAATGATATATTTGCAAGGAGTTCTTCCATTAAGATGAATTTTAATGGAAATTAAATCTAAAATTTGTATGATGCAGTTTGCTTTCATTTCATTACAGTGAAATCATATGCAAAGTTTCATCTTTTAGTAGCAACAGATAATAAAGATAACAGAACAATAAAATGTTACCAATACATTGTTAAAGTTTGTCTCCAAAACTACGTTTTTGAATTCTACATTCAAATCATTAGTTTTTTACTCGTTGTTACTAAAAATAAGAATAAAAATAACACTGACAAATTTTTCGCTTCGAAACATGAATTAATTAAATGAAGATCATGTCTTCTCAATTCATCTTCTTCTTTAAATTACTCTAATACTGTAAGATAGATAATATGGAATCTTTAAAATTCTGAATGTAGATGCTAATGGGAAGCAAGCATAATCCTTTATTTAAATATTGTGAGTGGCATAAACGACGCATATAATATGCTTGAGATTATAATAGTATTTCTGTATTTACATTGAATACACAGAGGACATGCTTAAAACTATTGATATAAAAACATAGAAAATAATTATCAGTACATATGTAGTTACTCTGCTAGTCAAAAACTGTAAAATAGCGAATAATGATAAGTAAAAAAGAGAGATTCGAAAAATAATGCAAGTCAGCTATCAACAAAAAATGCGATATATTTAAGGACTTTGGCATTTAACAGAATACTATAATAAGAGCTTATTCTGCATAATTTTTTAAATTTAAGCATATCAGATGCAATAATTGCAATAATTTAAAAATTTTAAATATTAGCAATCAGTTCATTTTTCAGTTTCACAAAGAAATGAGGTATTGTATGTATGTAAGACGAATTAAATGATCTTAATAAGAATTAATTGCTGACGACGAAATGGATGATCTAATAAATGAATGAAGTGCATTGTTAAATAGCGCCGATATTTTAGTTTTCATAGCGCGTTTGAATCATGCCTTGTATGAGGGGAAAACAAAATTAGGAATCTATTTCAGCTATATATATATATATATATATGTAAACGAAGAAAAAGGCGTATACATGTGAGAATGTATATTTTTGAGAACATGCGTGTAAAGGAAGATCAGTGTAGTGCAATGTGATATGATATGATGTGATGTGATGTGATGCGATGTGATGCGATGAAATATGAAACGATAAATTCAGAGAATGAGCTTCTTAGGGTGTTAAAGTATAATGATGTTTGCTGTGATGAATGAAAGTAATACTTGCGATATAAAAATCGCAAGTATACAATTAATAATAGATTCTTGAAGAAGTCTAAATTGTTAGCACTCTCGAATACATTACATATCTGCTTCAGATATGCTTTTATAATTTTGAATATGACACTTAGCAGAGAAAACTAATTCACTATGACTAATATTTATCAGATGAAAATATTTGAAATAAAAAACTCATTTACGAAATGCTACCTTACCCGCAAGAGAAGAACCATTAACAGTAGATGCAGTAGCTATAGTTTTAGTAGAAGGTGTAGATGTGGTAATTGTAGTTGTAAACGCTAATGTAGATGCAGTAATAGTGCTGTATGTAATAGGAGCAGAAGCAGTTCAAAGCTGAAACTAGCCAAGTACATAAGAATTTTCACTTCAAATTTAAGGACTGAACTGATAGCAATGAAACAAACACTCACAAGCAGAAAAGGAAAATTAGTGACTGCAGAGAAAGGGGTGGTCTCGTTGTACTACAAACCAGGTCCGGATAGGAAGTGTATCTCAGAAATTTTTTGAGTTATATCAGGCTACTTACTAGGAGAGCTGATTGTTGGTTGCGTTTCTATATTGCGTTTCTGGGGCGTGATTTTTATGTGTATACATCATGTGACATAATTTGCGATACTTATACTAAGGAAATAGTATTCACTTCATTGTATCTGTTAGTAAGTAATCATTTCTTAACTTTTAGTTATTAATATGGTGAGCCTCATATCCTGCTTTCATATGATTGTAATTACTTCTTTTTTTTCTTCTTATTGTCAGTTTAGTTTGTATAAAAATAGTATTAAGGTAAATAAGATTTATTAATTATTGATGAGAATAGTGTGATAACGTTTAAAGCATGTGCAAAGAATTAATACCATTATGGGTAAATCATATTTGATAACATTATTATGAATAATTTAACTATAATATCATGTTTAAAAATATTTTTGATTACTTGCATACATGTCCGACAAATCAAGTAAGATAGTTTTTCAGATCAAACTTTTATTAGGTTGGTAAGAAGGATTTATATAAAACATGAATGTAGAAAAAATAAAAAAGTTGCAGCAGAATGCAGCCCAAGTTCGGACAGGCGGTAAAGTAAGCTTTTAATCTGTACCAAGCTTATTAATTTTGTCAGTAATCATTTTTCTTGTTTCTACTCTTTACTTCTTGAGCTATTTGTTATGTATTATAGGGTACAGCGCGTAGGAAGAAGAAGGTTGTGCACAAAACTGCTGCCACTGATGATAAAAAGCTTCAAAGTAATCTTAAAAAATTATCAGTCACAAATATCCCTGGCATTGAAGAAGTTCGTTAAAATCTTTCTCTTCAGGTTCTTTCCTTCTGAAACATACTCTTGATTACTTGAAAATTCATTCTTTACAGGTTAATATGATTAAAGATGACGGTACGGTAATACATTTCAATAATCCTAAAGTTCAAGCCTCTGTACCAGCAAATACCTTCTCAGTGACAGGAAGTGCAGAAAATAAACGTAAGGTTCCTCTTCTTGTCTTTATTTGGTGAAAATTTATTATTTCAAATGTTACTTTAGAAATAACTGAGATGTTACCTGGAATTCTCAACCAGTTGGGAGCAGAATCGCTTACACATTTAAAAAAATTGGCAAATAATGTTACAAGCCAGTTTAAATCGAATGATGATGATGATGTACCAGGTCAGTTTATATTTCTATCATGCAACCCTTTTCATAGATATGTAAATACTGTTAATCACTATAAAAATATGGAACAAGTATATAGATAGGTTGAAAACAGTATTTTGCGTGATAGTTTCATTAAAACTATCAAGTCAAATTATTAATATAGAACGGTTACAAATTAGCGAAACTAATGTTCGATTCAGTGAGTCCGTGCTGTTGAAAGTATTTTAATGGCGTGCTTTCGGCTAAACATTTTGTACTTAAATGTTGGATGTTCAATGAAGAATATTAGTTTGTAACCAGATTTTTTGTACAGATCTGGTTGGAGATTTTGATGAGGCATCGAAAAATGAAGCAAAGGTTGGGGATTGTAAACATGATCATGAGCACGAACATGGGAAAAGTTTTTATCAGGAAGGCGGAGAATTGGAAACTAAATTAGCTGCTTAAGAAAAATGCAGCGAATATTATATAATACACTACATAGTGCATTTTATGTGGAAACAAGTTTTTGCGAAATGTTTTGCCATTGTCATTTTTGACCAAGCAGACGCTAGTTTTGAGTTAAATGAGCGTTTAATAAAGCGATTTACGATTTTATCGAATTGTAAATTTGTGTCAAAAAGGGTGTAATAAATTTGTTGGACTTTTGTTACTTGTTGAATACACGCTATCAACGTATGAGATTGTATATCCTACTTCGATGTCGGTTCACTACGTTTAAATCATTATATCATTTTATATTGCTCATTTTTTGGACGGGAAATTTTTGGTTAACTAATTGGTACTAAAGTTGGTATATATAGTCAACGTTGTCGTGAATTTTTATCTTAAATAGGCCGACGCGAGAATTGTGACTAACAATCCATAAAAGTCCAATTATTATTCTTGAAATAATAGTGATACTAAGAAGTCCATCACTTTATAGTACTTTGGACATTCTTATTCGACCTTAAAAATTAGGCTGGCAGGATATAACACAGACACGAAAAAAGAAGAAGTTAGTTAAAATTCGCGGTAGTATAGACTTGCTGTGGTTCGATCAAAGTATTTGAAGTTATGATTTAGTTTAAAGGTTACCTGAGAATTGTGCACTATGTTGGTACTGTTTCAGTGGTAACACATTTCAGTATTTTAGCTGTGAGAGTGTCAGATGAAAAATGTCTCGCTTTTGACCTCTAATCAATTTTTTGTCGCCAAATGCTTTCATTACTGATTTTTTTAGCCATCAAAGTAGCACTCTCTTTTATAAATTGAAAGCAAAGTATATGTGTAATATTCTGAGCAATTTTTTAATACAAAGCTGAAAATTATTTTTTACAGAAGATGTATATGGATCAGACTGTTGTTAAATAAATATTGATTGAGCCAATGACATTATTGTGACCGTTCTCATCAGATGAGCTGAAAAAATGTATCTTAAGTATTCATCAGATGTCAGAACATTATAGTATTTAGGGTGAATCAAGCAACTGAACAAGCTGGAAGACTCATGGCAGAACCTTCTAAAGATCGAACTTTGGCACTTAAAGGTGAAGTACATGAGTTTTTCCTTCAATTAGTACGCTAGGATTTATTTAAATTATTAAAAAAAAAAAAAACTATTTTTAGTGATGCGCCTGGCTCGTCCAAAATTTCAAGAAAGCACCTGCATACCGGTTGATCCAGCTGATACAACAAGCCAGCTTATTGCTTCCACTATTTGTCGTTTTACAGGACAGGAAGCTGCTGATATGCCAATTGGAAAATGTCTCTTGGCACCTCAAAAATTTGAGTAAGCCCATGTAAAAGTTATTGTCATTTGAATAAAGAATATTAGTTTTCCTTGAAGTAATTGATGTGATAACAATTTCAGGAACATTTATCTAGGAGAAACGTTTACTTTTTATGTTTCTGTTCAAAATATTAGTGATAAGATTGCAACGAATATATGTGTCAAGGTAAGTGGGCATTGAAAAAAATTGCTTGGTGATCAAGGATATTAAGCACTTTATAGTTGTTTCTTTCCGCTGATTAAATCCTTAACCATTTGCGTAATTTAATGTTCTATTTTTGAATTTTTGCAGACTGATTTGCAAACTACAAGTCAGCGTCTTGCGCTTTCTTCTCAACTTCAAGAAGCCAATGCTACTTTGGAGCCAGGAAAGTGTTTGGGAGAAGTTATCAGTCATGAGATTAAGGAAATTGGGCAACATATGTAAGTTCTTTCATTGGCAAGCACTTTTTTTACGTAACAAAACGTGATTTTGTTTTGCATATTTAGTTTGAGAACAGTATATTATTGCATGAATTTGCAGACATAACTTTTGTGTGATTTTTTAAGAAACTACAAAGTGTACATTGAATTAATTCCAGATTTTTGGTCGTACTTTTTAAGTCATGTCTGATTATGAATTATGAACTGTGATTTTTTTTACAATTTATATTAAAGGACCAAGTTCTCATGTTAAATAATTAAATAATTTATATTAAATAATAAATGTTTTATAACTTTAATGCTTGAAGTTTGTTTTGACATCGTTGTGGTGTTTACTTAAGCTAAGATGTAATTTAACTTGTTACTTCATAAGAATCATTACTACATGTCATATCCACCATTAAATAAATTTACAGATATTACTATAGTAAAAATTGGAGGCATTCTCTCTGTGAAATCTTTATCTTCTTACATCTTCTATCTTTTTTGTACTTGAGCATTTTGAACTAAATCAGAGAACAATCTAAATTTCATAAAAATGGTTTTAGATTCATTAAAGGATGTTTTTCATTATTAGTTAAGATCATTTTCTTTACGAAAAAAATCGTACATTATTATTCACTTCAAATAAGTGTTGAATAGCGATATTTCAATTCCGCGTGAATCTTCCTCATTTATCGTGAGGGCTTTGCTGCGAAACAAAAAGAATTTTAGGAAGTATAAAGATTTATACATAAAAATGGACAAATAAAAAAATTTGTTGAGAAGATTGAACCTTTTAAGCTATCAGTTCTATTTTTTTAGATTAGTTTGCTCAGTGAGTTATAAGACATCTAAAGATGAGTATTTTCGCAAGTTTTTCAAATTTCCTGTTACAAAACCAATCGATGTTCGCACGAAATTCTACAATGCTGAAGTAAGCGCAAAAATATCTTTGTTTTAGTGTATACTTTTCTTTAAAATCGTTTGCTGTGCTATGAAAATGAAAATTTGATTTGAAAAAATCTTGGTTTAACTGGAAATAAGCTGGAAAATAAAGAAACTAACTGTGATGTACTGCATTACCGCTTGCTTAAAATGGCATTATTTATTATGAAAAATTTATGTTTAACTATTAAAAATCTACATGTCTTATAGTTATGAGCTTCAAAATAGTAAAATGAAGTATTTCATGACTTACTATCAGTTATTTTTTTTCGATTATCATCATGTGTGTTTTTAATTATTAATGTCCTTTTCTATGAACATATCGAGCATATATGTATATATAACCACTGATGCTTGCACCTGCTGTTGTTACAGGATAATCTGGTAAGCTTGTTTGTAAGTTAAAGTAGGCAGACGTCCGTGATTTAGGAGAAAAATATTTTTCTTTTGCTTTCAAACTTACAAAATTTTTAATGAGTTTCTGTGGGATATAGTTTTTGCTGTGATATTTCTTTGATTTATACTTTAAATGAGGGCAATAATTAATGCTTATAGTAAAGAAGTTAAGGGGCACAAAACTAAATTAAGCATTAACGATCTTTTCATAATTTTAAAGAATTTTTGATTGATCAGCACTACTTTTGTCACGAATCTGATACATTCTTAAGTTCCATTTTTTGCAGAATAATGATGTATATTTGGAAGCTCAAATTCAGAATACTTCTGAATCACCAATGATTATGGAGAGAGTTACTCTAGAACCATCTGATTTCTATACCAGTTCAGAAATATCAGCAGACGAAACTAAGTATATTCTGTTTCCTCATTAATTAGTGCAGTCAATTTTCTGTTTGTTTTGTTGTAGAATAAAAATAGATATTTTCAATGGAAATTTTCTGTAACACTAAAAGCATTCTAATCGAAAATATAATTAGTATTTTTAAGGATTTTGAAAAATATAAATTTACCGCATTAGTATCTCTGTGATGAACTGAATAAAAACTACAAGTACATTAGCTGATTTTTATTCATCTATATCATTCTTTCAGAAATAACATTATTGCGCAATCGTACATTAATCCTGGTGATGTTCGACAGTACCTTTTTTGTCTGAAACCTAAAACGACAGATTATTCTCCAAACTGCTTCAGGTATAAAAGGATAAATGACGTAATTAAGGGAAATCTTGGTTTCATTGACGCTGTAAAATTGAAAAAACGTTGTTTTTTTATCATTAAAAAACATTGTCTTTATAAGACGTCTCATAAAAAACGTTGTTTCTTTATTTTAACATTCGTAATGCATTTAATTAGAGATTGTGCCAATTAATTATTCTTTGCAACTCATGAGAATAAATTTTGTAAATTAGTTGGAGCAAAAACTTTTAATGATCCTAAAGTTTTAAGAACTATTATTAGGAATGGCACATCGATTGGTAAATTGGATATGATTTGGAGAAGCACTATGGGCGAAAGAGGCCGTTTACAAACGAGTCCCCTGCAACGAATGGTTTGTTGTACTTGCTTCAATGTTTAGTTCTCATTTAAAAGTCGCACTTTTTTTAAAAATGTCAAGGGACGGAATGCATCTAGCGTATAATAAGCTATCTGATATTGAGCTTGTGGCTTAAAATGTATTTCAGGCCCCAGGTTATGGAGATTTGCGTCTTACAATTGTTAAAATCCCTGCAATGGTAAAAGTGTTGCAACCGTTTATCATCGTTTGCAAATTGCAAAACTGTTGGTGAGCTTTTCCGGTGCAAAAATATTTAAATGCTTTGCCTAAAGATATTTAAGCGTTAGCCTTTTGTAACCAAATGTGCTCTTTTTCTAGTGATAGACCATTAGACTTACTATTGACATTGGATGATAAGTTTCAATCAAACATTGTGTTCTGTTCAACAAGTGGTGTTCAACTAGGACAACTGCCGCCGAACAGCACAACTAATTTTGCGGTGGAGTTATTGCCCCTGTCTCCTGGATTACTGGTATCTTTATCATGTTTCTTCCACTTTAAGAAAATTGAGTCTAGTTACAAAAGTTGAAGTTTTTCAGTCCGTCTCGGGTATTCGTGTAACGGATACTTTCCTCAGGAGAACGTACGAACATGATGATATTGCCCAAGTCTTTGCAGCATAATCTTAATTTCTGAGTGGCGCACTCCGATATAACTTGATCATAGTAATCAATTCTGCCCCGACTTGTAAAACCGTGTGCCATTATTCCAATTTTTCTATCGTAAAATATGAACCAGCTAACCATTGCATGTTGTTATGCATTACGCAACATGATCAAATAAATGTCAATTTATTGAGTAAATGACTGCAGACCTTAACAAACTCTTAAACAAAAAATACACATATCAAGTTCTGTGCCAGGCGTTTTTTTTTCGCTTTATAAAAAAGTTCATAGATTCGTACTGATAGAAATCTCAACATATTCACAACATTTACAGTTACATACCGATATGCTTATTAAAAAATTTTTTGAGAATTATGTAAAGAAATATTGTTGAAAATATTTCAGAGAAACATGAAACCTTGGACACATGTGGAAAAAAAAATGTTAATTGCAAATTGGATTTCTATGAGCATATCAATATACGTAGTCATTGATACAGCTAAGCAATATTCAGTGTAGTAACTGCGGAAAAAGTCATTTTTAGGTAGGGCAAAAGTTATTGAAAAACAGACGTAGAGAAAAGATAAAAAAAACAAACTTCGAAAAATTAAGAACGAATGTTTTCGACGAGTTCGGTATTTTTTGATCGGCCCCACTATAGATTAATTACAGGTAATACATTAATAGGTGGAAAAAGTTCTTTTATTAATCAATCAAAGCTGGAATTGTTTCGCAGAACACACAAAAGGAACAGCAGTAGGATTGAGGACAACAGCGCTAAACACAGAACTAGAATGAAAATAGTCACTTGTTTCCCAATATCCTGTGTCAATGTCAGTGTTTCCAACATCATGTGTCAATATCACTGTTTATTGGTTTACATTTAACTTCGCGTCCGAGGGTTCTGTTTAGTGGATGAATAGAACCAGATGATGCTGAAATAATGTACCTAACAGAAAATAGTATTTTACTGTTCTCAATAAATCTGAAATTTCTAAGAAAAAGTAACGTCATCATACAAAAGAGGTAGAAATCAAAACTCATGACAATTATTCATACCTTGCTCCGACAAGGCACTGAATTCTGCTAAGACGTCATCAATCATTTTTTGTAACTGTCCTGAAAAGATATCGTTTTGTAACTTCAAACTCTCGTCCTTCATCCGTAAAACTACCTTTTGGAGTTTTACTGTGAATGAGTTTCTGACATACATGAGAAGAACTCTCAAAAGAATATACTTTTCAAGTCAAAATAGTCTTTCCATGTTGAGTTTGAGTGACTGAGCATGTCTCCCAGCCCACAGATTAACATCCTTATTTGTCTTACTCTTTCGTCGAATATACCACCTTCCGGAACTGACATCCATTCAGAGCATAATTTCTCTAGATAGTTTTTTTCCGAAATCATAAGCAGATGGTCATACTGTGTCTTTAGTTTGCTCAGTTTGAGGTGTTCAAAAAGAGACGCTTCTTTTCGAAATGCCACCTGCAAATAAATCTATGTCTCGTTGAGGTAAATGAAAATCATGAAACTACAAATTCTTAATTGCATTCTTAATTCAAACAATTTTAAATTATGATCGCAATTATAATGAAGAGCTGAACTTCTTCATAGCTGTCATTCTCCTAACTTTCGTAATTGGTATGCAACAATTTAAAAGATTTACTAGAGTTTTATTTTCATGCAATACGCGTTTAAAATGTGCAATTTGTGTTTCGTTCAATAACTGATAAGCCTTTCACACAAAAACAACGAAAAATTTCCATATTTACCTGGCGCCATGGACTATAATTTCCTTGTTCATTCTGCTGTGGAGAAGTTACGCATTCAGTGGTTGAAGAGGTGGATGGTTCAGTAGCCAACAAAGAACTGCACGGGGAACTGCTTGTCACTTCATCTTGTTTCGACATCTTTATTTCATCTGAACCGTCTCCTATTTCAGTAGATGATGGTGGCTTTTGTTCGTCGACATCCGGTAATATCAATTGCTGTTTGCAAGCATTTTCTCTATCCTAAACAATTTCTACTACTAAACTCATCAGCTTATCAAAATACAAAAAATCGAAGAAAGCAAAGAAAAATCAATTCGCAACTTTTTCTTAAAAATATGATGCCATTGACTATCAAGCAGACAATGATTTAAGTATTTCGAAATACAGTGAAAAAATTTAATAAAAAAGCGGTATGAACTGTACATTGCAAACTTTTACCTTCTGATTTGTCCACAAGTCGTACACACGTCTGTTTATATCTTTGGTACAACCATTTTTTAAAGTAGCGATATACCGAGTGGTATTATGAATTATTCCATTTGGCTGACACTTGAATTCTTGTATAGTTTTAGCATCAACTACATCAAGCGCTAGCAATCTGAAATTTATTACTTTTATATGAAGCAGTACAGATGTATACTATTCATGATACTTCGTTTTTATGCATAAGATAACATACGCAACAACGGTAATGAAAAAAATAAAATTATTAGGAGGAAAAATAAAAATGTACACGTCGTCAGTAATGTTGGTTGAGCAGCAGCTATTCTGGCTTGGACTTTCATCTTCTGGGATTAAAACAATTGTTTCCATATTCGACGGCTCTCTTTAATTCAGATTTTCAGAAATGCTTTATTAAATCACAAAAAGAATTGCAAAACCACAGTGAGGCATATGCTTTGTAATTGTCAAAAAAAAACTCCCAAATTGTTTTACTGATACTTTATAGAACAATGTTGAACTTCTCCACTTACGCTGACGTCACTGACAAGTCATTACTTCCACTGCTTTTTGGTCGATGATCGGTGTTATGCTTCGAATTTCCGGATTGCCTATTCTTTATAAACAGACTTCGTACATCAGAAACCTTCCTTTGATTACGTCCTTCTTTTTTCTTTTTTTCCTCCTCTTCATCGTCGAAAACAAATCTTAAACAAATACATCAATAATAAATGAAATTCATCAATTATGAAAAGTATTCAGTCACGGTACAATGGCTTAGGAAGTACGCTTAATAGCACTTAACACACTGTCATTTAAACAGTTGAATTTCTCATTATTTAAGGATCTCAATCACCTGTTTGGAGCTTTAATTTGTCGCTTTGGTCGATTTGTGGCTAACATTTCCACACCATTAACATTGTCATTTCTGGTCCTTTTACTTTTCCATTCAGCTGTCATAGATTCAACAGATCCATCACGCTTTTTTGATATGACAACTGAAGGTAATTTTGCCATTTCTTCAACAATATTAGTTTTAGGAATGTTAGTGGCAGCTGCAGTTGAAATCTGTGAAGTAGTTCCAAAGCATTTCAATGGACGGGACTTTTTTGTTCTTGGCCCAGAAATGACAGATTTTTTCAGACAAGAATAACCACCTGAAACTAATTATTGCCATCAAGTCAGGATGAATAATTCCTATTGCACTAAGTTACAGTACAAGAAAAATGAATGCCAAACGTCAGCAAAATAGGTTAAACACAAATATTTTCAAACACTAAACATGACATCCAATGACACGCAAATGCTTTTTTAAATACAATAATCATGAATGAAATCCGTTGCCACAGGTAGACTCACAATTAGAAAAAAATTTCTTTCATTAGTCAGCAACATATTTTTGCAGGAAATAAATGCTTTTACTTATCCACTTAAGATTAAAAAAATACGTGACAATCTATTTGACATAGAACAAATGGTGTTGAGCCTAAAAAAATGTTAATGCCATCACACTGTTCTTAAATTCTAGAAAAACTTACTTATTCCTAAGCCATGTTTCTGAACTACTAGCGTTTGCAAATGTCGGACAGCTCGTTGAATCTTTTCTATAAAACTGCTCTGGCTTAAAAATTTGTTGAAAAAAATTTTAGGAATAGACAAAAACTGAATTGCAAGAAGTCCAGGTAAGGTTCTTACCTACATACAATGGCGTTGACCAAATATATCAAATTTTCAGCAAAATATTTTAATCTTAATTTTTTTACAACATGATGGTATGAATTTTTGAAGTCTAAGACAAAAAGTTTATAATCATTGTGAGCTCTTTGGTTAAAACAAATTTGTTTACTAAATCATATTTGCAATCCGAAAAATAAAGAACTTTCAGAAAATTTTATCTGAAACATAAAGCTAACGGAATTTTAATTCACGTCGTAGAGCCCCGAGTTCCTTCGGTAGTGGGAGATCAGCCGTTTCTTTATAACTTGCACACGAGCTTAAGACCGCTTGAATGGCATCCAATACTGATTTATCACTTTCAACTAGAAAAATGCTTATTAATATCAGCATTTTTAGATATTTATTTTATACCTAACATTTTTCATACCAGAAAATTTTTTTTAACTCATAAGAATTTTTAAAAAACCTCTATAAGTAAATGCAAATATACATTTTGATGCCTCTGTTTCCGCAAATGCTGACCATATAGTTTGCACAGCCATAACTTGCTGTAACTCTCGTCGACATCTCTCATCTTCTGTGACAAAGATATATACAGTAATGAAGCAAAAACAAGTTGACTATGACAATGACTTTCAGAATGTGTTACGAGCAGATACAACTGAACGACCTACCTGGAATAAGCAATGAAGATAAGTAAATAACCTGTCAACTCGAGAGGTTTAATAGGCACAGGACGAAGAATTTCGGTTTCCGCTGCTTCATCTACATCCGATTGCCTTGATGCTTTCGCAATTATTTCTCTGGTCCGGAGAAGATTGATTAGATTCATGACTTCTGAATTAATAATCAAACGCTCCGTTCTGGGGATTGATGAGTCAGTTGCATCAGGTTTTCTACCATCATCTAAATAGTCTCTCACTTTCAACAATGTCGAAGAGTCATTGGATGGTGAAGATATCTCCTTTGACTCTGATGATTCTCCAGAATTTCCTTCCTCACTTTGTTTCTTTTCCAAATCTCTCGAAGACTTTGACTCAAAAATGACCCAGTTGCTTGTAAGTGATTCCAAGCCATTTTTGTGTAATTCGTCCTTTAACAACACATTCCGTTCTAAGAGAGCGGCTATAAATAAGTAATTATTTTTGAAGAATAGCATCATGTCAGATTGCAGGTTTTATCTGAAATGATTATATTTTAATCATAGTTCATGGATTAAAATTAGTCAAACAAATAGTGGCGGTAACTTGATGATACTGACTGTTGATGTGAGCAACTTAAAGCTAAAAGAGTGGCAGACTAATGTACAACAATCTTCTCATTAATCAGTTTCGTTTAATTTTTTAATATTCATATTAAAGTAAATTCCATCTTGAAATAAAAAAGTGTCTAATTAACGTGCGGCAATTTACTTTTCACACATAGTACTTTCAAAGATGGAACAAAGTATCTCACGAATTAAATTTTCCTCAAATTTGTCTGTGCCTTTGATTACATCATATGCGGCTGTCAAATCTCGAATATAGTTTTCTATGTGATTTCGCAAAAGAGTACGTCCCGGAAATACCATTGATTCAGACGAGTCCAACTTTTTTGCTACCTCTGTCCAACGACGAGCCAAAAATAAGAGCGAAAAAAGATGTCTGAAATCAGTATTCTCAAAAAACTTAATGCATTTTTTTTTAGAAGGGAAAAAAATATTAAAAATGAAGATCATCTTTACTACTTTCAACCAAATATCAATCTGATAAGATTTCATGAATATAACCAAACATACGCTTTTCCCAAGGCATTTTTATCATTCTCCATAATCAGATTTCCAGAATCATCATTTTGTTCTTGTTGCATCCTCGTCTCATTGATAAATAACGGAGCTGTCGTTTGGATAGCAGTGCTTACAATATTATCTTCCTTTAGGTTATTTTTTTTCTCAAATACGAATGATGGCTCTTTTACATCTCTAGTCGAACCACTGCTTCCATGATCATCACCATCATCATTATTATTATCATACTTCGCCAAACACTTTTCTGCATTTAAACGTCGCTTCGTCATAACTTGTCTTTTATAACATTCTTGGCGAATAAGTAATTGTTCACATCTTCGAGCTTCCTCTGAAAAAGATGAAATAAATAAATTAACATGAAATTCATGCTTGTGTTTTTAATACACAAAGTAGTAATGAGAGAAACCGCAGTATACCTTTTCTGGCTCTCCACAGCATTTCTGGGACTAAACGTTTGCTGTCGGTACCTTCCCAGCAATGATCAAGAAGCCATTTTAATTGACCCATAAGTTGTTTTGCTTTTATAATTTCTTTAGGAGTGTTGAGTTTTTTCCTGAAACATATAAGCGAACAAAAATACTATATCTTGACTTCAAAGTCTGATAATATAAAGAGCTACTAAACATTAAATAAAATACATCAAAATTTTTAACTGAAATTATGCAATAAAATCATAGTTACTTCTGGATAATGCTGTACCAAAATCGGTATTTATCACGAAAAAAATCAGACTCTTTCTTCCATTTCGACAAACAAAGATATTGAGAACTATATCGAGCTTGCGCACAAGCCTGAAAACATATGATTCAAAACTGTCCACTGCATTAACTGTCATGATGTTTATATTCTGTACCTGACCGATCGATATGTAAAATTTCTAGGCAAGTAAATAAAATAGAAGCATTTCATATAATAAATTCATAAAATGAAGTCATAAGCTATAATTAAGAGCTATATATAAGGCCAACCACGTAGTTGTACGTCTTGGGAAATAAATGCTTGACTTCGACTGAGTCAGTCCAGTCAACTATTGGTACGTTTTTTGGAGGTGGAGGTGGACATAATCCATTACCTCGCTGTTGCCAAAGTCTTCGCTGAAATTATTTTCTTTCTGTAAGACCCTCACTAGCAACTAATGCTTATCAGCTGTGGAATACGTAAAAAGCAATCACCTTCCGTAACTGCCTTTGTTTTCCAAGTGCCCCTGATTTCTGAGTCACCAAAGTCTCGGTTGAGATCTTTGGGGACTCACATTTCACAGTGCGAAGGTCACTGTTTGCAAATTGTTCTTTTTTATCATCTGAAAATCACTGTAATAAGCTATCAGGAGAGCTGACAACGAAATGTGAAAGACATCATCCTAACAGCTACAGAAAGAAATTTACCAAAACTACCTGAAATAGCAGAAGAGCAATTTTACCAAAACTACCTGAAATAATAGAAGAGTGATGATGAAAAAGATAGAATAAAAAAATGAGAATTTGTTCAAATTCTATGTGAGAAACATACAACACATCTAAAAAGAAGCATCTTCCATTCAAATGCAAGTAACAGTTATTCTGATATTGCATAATAATAATTCTCTACATGCGCTGAAATTACACTAAATGATTTTGAAAAATTTCAGCTAGTATAGAATCAAAAAATAGAGTTACATATTGGATTGTACTGCAATGGTCATTTTGAAAATTATGTGGGAATTACTCAAATATCGCAAATTTAATTTATTCTTTTCTGATATAAATAATGAAGTGTGAAAATGCATTCGAATTACTGAGACCAATCAGTACTTCAAAGTGAGAAAAAAAATAGGGTAACTGATTAAATTAACATGATAATAACTTTGGAATAATTAGAGTACAGTCAAGTATTTTTACTTAAAACATATGTAATAATGTCCAATTAATTGCCAAATCAACTCCGATATTAATTTCCGAACAAATCATGTCTGGAATATATGCTTCAGCTAAGAAAACATAGAAACGAATAAGAAACATAGATACGAATATCCCTCTTGCAATTTAGAGTCGCAGTGAATATAAAATGAAAGAAAAATTTTCACCAATCATAGAAACAGTTATGAATTACCGCAGGAATCATCTGATGGCTTCTCAGTTTGATCATCCTCGATTTTTACTGATGGAATAAGTTGGTCAGATTCGTGGAGCAAAATAAACTGTTCACTGACTTTAGCATCTAGTGAAATCTCGGTTTCCACTGTTGCATTATTCATATCTCATCCTTCAAAAGAACGAAAATTCTAACTTAAATACGAATAAATGCACGGAAAAACGGTAAATTTTGTTTATATACAAAACACAACGAAATTTATTGAGTTTATCATCAATTTTAACAATGAGAGCAAAACAAATTAGTTGCCAAACACAGGCTTACTTTTTATTACCAATATAATAAAATTTCATCTCATCTGCCACTAGCAAAATGCACAACGGAAGAAATCAGTAACAAATGATTTCCTCATGACCATAAGCATATAAACATGCAAAATTTAAAGCCTGTTGGTCAGCTAATCTAGCATACAATCATTACCAATCTAACATGATGGCTCCTTTCGACACCAATGTGTTCTAGCTGATAATGTTACTAGTGACACTTACCTGCATATATAAGCATCATTTGATTTGATGCTGACATGCAGATGAAAAAAGGTGAGCTAGATGTTAACATGAATGAACATTCATATATTCCTTCTTATAGGTAAAGAAATTTTCAAGCGTCATAAAGCGGATCACATTTGGCTTGGATCAACGTACATAGTTCGGCAATCCACACAGGACATGATGCGCTTGAATTTACTCTGAATAGAATGAAAAAGTTGCTAACAACCGCATGAAAGCATAAACGTTGATGGAACAAATAAAACAGTAAGCTTTCTCTGCTTTGTTTGTATATATGTAAATTTGTATTTGTGTGCGTACATATGTACATGAATGCATGTATGAGCACATGGATATTAAGGTAAGCAAGCATGTATGTAAACGCACGTAGATATTGTGTACAGATTTCGTGTCATTACAGTGAGTGACAGCATTTCCAACTTCAAAACATGCAGAAAAAAGATAACAAAAATCAAACGTCAGAAATCGGTTGATGACAATAATCAGCTATTCGCATATAACTCGGCATAATTTTCAAACTGTATTTGATCCGAATGAAGATGACTGCATTCATACGATATCCTGCGTTAAAAATTTAGACTCATTCATTGCATTAAAAAAAATAAGTATAGCTATGAAAAGATGTAGTCAAATAGCACAAAGCAAACAGCACAATTAATTACTTGCAACTACCCTTAATCAATTAGCAGTTAAAAAAAGCAAAGTGATTGAAATTTATCAAGAGATAATTAAAATGAACGAAAAAATGCTAGCTAAGGTAGAACAGCATTCACATAGGGCCCAACATCTACCGAAATCTTTTGCAGAGGTCAAGTCAATTCAACTCGACCTTTTCCTCTCTTCTTCCCTGGCTCTTGTACCTGCCGAAATGAGCAAGATTTCACGGCCATGATAATGTCTACCATCTGCAAGACAATGTCATACATCCAATAATAAGCAGCAAAAGGAGTAAAGTTCAATGGTCGTGTGGGGGGATACAGGTTAAAATATGAATTATGGAAAGACGTTATATCATCCTCTCTTCAATTACAGATAATAGTTAATTATAATAACAATTGACAATGTAAAGAGAAAACGAATGGAAAATTGCGGCCACACTTTTTTTTTACTCAATCAGCAAGTCTATTACAAACACATACGTACTCACGTACTTAATGTTGGTTTAACTTTAACTTATTAAGCTGCCCTTTTATCGATTTATCCAATTTTTCCGTCCATACATTCGTTAATCTACTATGATACGCATTTAGTCACTGATTAGTTTTACTATCTATTTAATCATTTCTACGAAATATTCTTGTATTTTTGTTGCTGAAACTAAATAAATTTCTCTAATTCCTATTCTTCAGTTAAGTTGAACGTTTTTTGATCACTCGCTCGTGCATCTTTCTCACAATTTTCTTGGCATGATGGACAAAGCTCGGAAAACTTCTATACAAAGTATAGAGCGCAATTATCTCGCATAAGTTGTATTACGAAATGCTCATGAAAATTTATATTATTCTCATTAATTAATTAATTTAAAGCCTTTTTTGGATTGAGCAATGATTAAAATCACAAGAAAGTATGAACTAATATCATAAATTGAATTAACTGTACAACTCTGTAATCATTAAGGATGAAGAAGAAATTGCAAGAGACAAGTTTATAACTATAAACAGTAAAAAAGTAACGTGTTCTTACGTTTATCAAATTACCCGATATTTTCTGCCGTAATCAAGTTTCATCGATTTAGTGCTACTCAATGTTTTCTTTAACAGCTAAAAAACCACTAGCGAGCGAGTAAATATAATTTGATACCCACTCTTACTTCTACACGTAATGTAATAAAAAATGCGTAAAATACTCAAATCAAAAAAATGGGTATGTAGTAGATATAGGCAGCAATATATGTTCAAATAACACTGCTTACAAATGCTAAAAATTACGCTTTTGCAAGCGGAGGAGGCGGATGAGGAATGTTGGTACGATGTATGCATATCATTTCGCCCACGTGTTTTTTTTTGCATTCTACCGTACAATTCAGGGAAATTTATTGGGTGATTGATTTATTGATAGATTGATAGATAGATAGATAGAAAGATATATAGATAGACAAATACATAGTTTTATTAGTTAGCTCTGATAAACTAAATCTGTGATTGAACGATGGACAAATAAGTAGATTTAATGAAGGATTGAATGATATACAAGACTGATGTATAGATTAGTAAAATGATCGATGATGGGCTGGATATTAGAATAACTGATGACATGATGGATGATTAAATGTACGAACAAATTAGATACTTGAATAGTGGCATAGAGTGGTAGGGTAGGAATACAGTAAAATTTTCTCGATTAATTAACTGTATTACTAGCTTTGTATCATGTCTGCTTACTCAGATTAATGTAGCTCTAAGATGAGTACTTCTGTTATATTTTAATACGATTTAAATTAATAAAAATATTCGAACTGTGCTGTATATGTAAGGATTTTATATCAGTTATAGCTTTGCTCTTTCTCTCACACTTTAATTTGGCCTTTATTTCAACGTCACGTGTAAAAACTCGTGAATTATTTTTTGCCAAAAAGTAGCACTAAATTTGTCCACAAAATACAAGAACCATTTATTAATTATTATTGAAAATAAATGAATCACCATGATAATATTATCATTGCTGTACAAAATTAAAAGAACGACTAAACGAAGATAACAAAATGAATAAATGACGTGATCTTATTTCTACTTCTGTTATGTAAAAGTTGCGTCAATATTTCACTACATTCATCTTCTAGTTCTGTAAAAATTGTTTGAAAGCTTATTTTGCGTTGAATAGATTTGTTTTCAAGTATCTACGACCAAGTTTTACATGATAAGTGACAAACACATCATGATCAAATAAGATATAAAACCATTATCATCAGCAGTTAATCATAGCTGCGTTAAACGATTGTAACAATAACAGACAGCAGTTTATTACATATATTACGGATACACAAACCTTTTGAACTAAAAGCAAGCTAAAAGTGAGTAATGACTAATTAAACTTCCAATAACTTATCTAAACTGGAGAAACCTAACTATTCATAAGTAACGCAAGGTAGCGGTATACTTGGTATGTACATTTTATTGCTGTGTTGTTAGCACACTTTGCAAGACAAAAAAATGCGCTGCAAACCATTAATCATTTTTTTTAAAAAGTCGGAAGACAAGCAATCGCATAATTTCATATTTGCATATTGGGGCCCTACCGATGATAACTTCAATTTAGCCAGCCCGAGTTTTATTTTTCTTACCTTAAATTAATTATTGACTTTTTTCCAACCAAAACTAATGAAAATAACAGTAATCAGCACATTCAAAAACATATTTGTTGATAGTAAAAGCTAGAGAATGATTATTCGTAATCGGCCAGCATAGAATACGGATTCTCAAGGTACTGCTTAACTTGGCTACTAAATCGAGCTAGAGTTGCACCATCAACTACACGATGATCCGCTGCCCATGAGAAATAAGCTACATTTGCGGCGTAAACCTAATAACAATAAAAGCATAATTCATTAATCTATTGAATGATCATTAATCTTTTATACCATGCCAAGTATGACATTAAGACAGTTTCTGAGCTAAATTTTATACAACTTAAAATTCTTTCCACACCCTTTAATTAAGTAACTACTAATTGATCTTATGGAAATCATAAATTTTGAAATGATAATGTAAGTTTGTTGAGAGAGGAATTCATGAACTATCTCAAAAATAAAAAATAAAAAAAAAAACAGTACAAATGAACACTGATCTGAAAATTTTGAAAAGCTCACTTTGCCATCCTTATCAAAGCGGGGCAACTTGGAAATCTGTCCGATCGCACCAATCGCAAGCTGAGGTGGCATTATAATCGCATTCAAGTAAGTACCGCCGATCTACAAAACTTGTTTGAAATACTTCCTTGAATTTTCAACGTAAGTAAACAGTTCCTTTATTCCAAGCTGCGTAATGAAACAAAACTAAAGCTTTCCTATTATATAAATGCTTCGACATAATAAATTTTAACCAATTTTCATCAAATATAAGACGATTTCTTAACTAAATAAAAATCAAAATTTTAATGTTTTTTGAGTGTAATAAGAAACTTTTTAAAATTAACAGCAATTTTTTCATTTCATTTTCAAACTTTTCAGCAGCAACTTTTTCACATTTCTTGTGTGCTTAAAAGTAATCGAATTTAATCCAGTCTGTTTTTGAATTTATGAAATTTGATATTTGAAATGAAATTATGTAAGTAAAAAATGATCGCAAAAGCGTTAGCTGAAGTTCATCTGGAAGATATGTCTTCAAAATATGAAAATATGCTTACCATTCCCACATTAGACAAAGTAAATGTCCCGTCCTTTAAATCTTCTGAAGCTATTTTCATCTGACTGCTGGCCTTTTTAAGTCGATCTAACTCCTGAGCAATATCCCATATTGTTCGTCGCTCACAATTTTTAATATTTGGCACTACTAAACCTTCTGGAGTATCCATAGCTATTGATATATTTTTAAAAGCCTGCAAAAAATGAACAATTGTTCAGGTAGCATTCGCAAAATAAGGTATAATTTAACGCCATAATCATTTTTTTGGACTATCCTAAAAAAATTGTTAGTAAAAATGATTATACACCATTCCATGAAAAAAAAGAAAATACTTCTAAAACATTTTTTAGCAATACCAGCTATTACATGAAAGTGCATATTTTTGACATTTGCAGGCATGAAAATCTACCAAAATGAAGAATTCAAAAATCATACAGATTTTAATTGAAATCTACGAACTTTTAGTAAAACATAATAACAATTTGGCTTAAGTCATGAAACTACAAAAACTTTGAGAGCAGCAATAACAAACTTACTTTATAAATAATGTTTTCTAGATATTCGTCTGTGACAGCATTAAGTTTAGGAAATTTATTCAAGGCAAGTGAAACCGCTTTGATAATAATTGGCATGAAGGTCATACGTGCAGAGTACATTCCTTCAAATTTTTTCAGTTCTTCCTTCATTGCTATCAACTGATCAAAATTTATCTGCAAATAAGATTCGTTCTTTCATACTTCAAGAAACCATGAGAAAAACTAGCCTCATAATCTGAAATAATATACACCTATCTCTTTTTGAAAAACACAATGACCGATTCAAGTCCGCCAATCTTTTCTCAATTACTTTATTTATTATATGCCTAATTTACAAAGTGAGACAAATAAATGAGTATTTGGGCAGGATCTGATAGAAGGATTAAAACTTGATTTTCATTTCGATTAAAAACTGAAAGTATTAAAATAATACTTTCAGTTTTTCTATACAAACGACAGCACAAAAAATAAAGCTCTACACAGTTTGCATGCATAAAACTCAGTTAAGAAAATCAAATAAATATCATACTAACAGCTATATTGTAATAAAATTGAAATACCTCTTCATATAAACTGAAATGTGGTATTTTTAACGCTTCTGTCATCGATTTTATCATTGTACGAGTATAACCACGTATTGGAACTATCTTATCATCTTCCAACACTCCAAACTAAAAATGCAAAATGATGATATGTTATATGACTAATAAGATAACAGTGCGTGATAATGATTTTATGCTTAGCTTTAAAAAAATAAATATTTGACTGACTTTCTAAATTAAGGACATAATTGGGTTAACCATAAATCTTAACGCATAATCAGTTGTAGACCTTTTTCGACGATTTAGACTGGGTTGAAATTGACGCATTTCTTGAAGCATGCAGGGTTGTGTTACTTGATAGTATCTTTGGAACTGCCAATCCAGACAAGTCTATAAAATTTCGGTAAAGATGAACATATTTTTTAGTTTATGATTTGTACATAAAAAATTGAGTAAAAATGCAGAGATGAAAAAAAAACAGTCCTAAAAAATAGCTAAAAGTACAGTTTCTGATTTCAAATTTGGATTTCTTTGTTTCATTAGCAGATAAAGGGAGATAAGTTAGAACAGATAATCCATATAAGATGGTTTGCTTATAAAAGAGAACACATGAAGTCACATCATTAAAAAACGCATGAATTAAACCTGCCTTTTTGACTTTCATAAAATTGTATAATATCATCCTTTAAAATGCGTCCGTCGGAACCAGTTCCACTAACATCGCGCAGATTCACCTGAGAAGATAAAGTTCAATAGTCATTTTATCAACTACTGAAAGTGTTTAAATACTTTTTCTAGTAATAGATAAAATAAATTTAACATAAATGTAAACGAAACACTATTGAAGAAACTGACCCAAACGTAATATTCAAGAAATTTATTAAAATAGACGAAAACAACACTTCAAGAGAGAAAGTATTCAACAAATATTTAGATAAAATATCTGTATCATCTAGCAAAGTTGCTCTATTTTTAGCTAGTCTATTCCTAAACAACTTCTTTTCACACAACAGACAAAAAAAAAATTAAATTCTCGATAACTACAAATTGTCCTGAATTAAATCAGCCATTTACTAATCACCAAAAAACGAAAAAAAAGAGTACTCCTTTTAGTTCAGCAAAATGACGAACTGCTGGTGTTGCAAGAATTTTACCACTCTCTTGAGCACCCTTTGTACATGCCACATTTTCCTTTACATCTTCGAGAATCTCCTCTTGCACATCTTCAAATCAAAAATTGAACATTAATTAACAAATAATTATCAGTCAATCTTTTATTGAAGATTTTGATTCAGCAACGAAATTATTTAGTAAGTATATCTCATACGTTTTTTCAACAAAATTTAAACAAGTATTACAAGTCATTGCTTTAAAAAAATGTGATACTGACTTAACTTACTTTGGAAATATTTTCACTTATTCAAAGTAATACAGAAATTCTGATTTTAGATGCAAAAAAAAAGAAGCAATATCCAAGCATAACTTAACTTTTTTTATCATCACTCAACTATTGAATAAGCATAAAACAAAACAAAACTGCAAATCATTAAGCTAACAATGAATCAAAGAAACATTTACCAGAATGCACGTTTCCATGCTCGTCTACCACTTCAATATCGACAAGTGTTGTACCGACCTTCGCAATGTCTTCAATATTATAATGCCTAAAAAAAGAATTACCATAATGAGATAATATTTTTCCACTGTAAGAATATAAATAGTATGTACAATTGTAAGTTTTGCAACTACAATACTTTACACAGATAGCATGCATTCATTACAGAACAAAAAAAATCACATAATTAAAAGTTTACAGCTTTTTAATGATTCCATCATATCGACTAGTAATTGTTGCTGATGCTTTGTCACTTTGTACTTCACAAATATTATCAAACTGTGCAACATGATCACCTTCTTTCACGTGCCATTCTTTTATCTAAAAAATAACTCATTGTATATTTATCGTAAAAGTTTTGCAACTACAAATTAAAAAATAAAATAAAATTAGTGCAAAAAATTTTTCTAAATGATATTATTGCTGAAGCAGTAATAATATATGAGCTCTCATTGAAATAAAACAACAAATTAGTAACTAATTACTGTAATCGTTTTTATTACGCCAATTTTAATCGGTTCTTGACATTATTCCATTATTTGGCCATATTGATTGGTAATAATATAAATAATTTACTGACCTGTACTTGAGCTATACCTTCACCAATATCTGATAGTCTGAACTGTACAATAGGCAACCATCGCGCTAAAATACACGAAAATAAATTAGTGAGCAAGATTAATTTTGAAGTAAAAATGGAAGAACGCATGCAGATAAGATGCGCACGTTTTATAACTTTAAGTGAATTTCCTATCGTTTTTGACATGATAAACATTGAGAAAAATCAATAAATCAAATCAATAATATATGAATTATGATTGATTCAGAATGACGCATAGAATTGGAGTCACTGCTTTATTTCCCTGTAAGATTTCTTTTTTATACTCTTTTTCTTTCTGTTTCTCCTTTTTTTTCTAGCTTACCTCAACAACAAGAGAGGTACTAGGTAATTAATCATTTGCATGGTGATATTATACGTACATTCTTGTTGAGTATCATTCATGAGTGCATGCATATACCAAAGCAGTACTGATGTATTTTCTCACGTTCACATTGTCTCACGTATGCATTAAATTCCGTGTATGCCATTTACATAGATTTAAACAGTTTTTGCTTCATTCATTCGTCATTGGCAGTAAAGAATCGTGTATTCAGACAAAATGGTATATTTTTCTCAGATCAATGACTGCGATGATTCAGAATAACTTTTACACGTAGAATCTCACTACTTCCGCATTGCATTTACAATTAACACTAAAATGGCTCAGAAGTTGATATTCTCCCTAAAATACCATTTGCTATTCAGAAATTTTAGATTTATCCCCACGGCTATTCGTGATTGCAATGCCTTAGAAGTCTTAGATTCTCATTTTCATATCATTTGCTTTCTTTGAACATGCCTCAGAAGCCTAAAACAATTTTTAGCAAACTATTTGTATGTAATATCAATGATGTAAACATAGATCATAATTTCTTTGCTTTCTTTGGTACTCATTTGTGCTCTCTCAGAGAGTGTGCAATTTTTCAAACAGCCAAAAATATTTTGACGCAGTTGTGTTATAACTATATCTTTTTGTTAATTTTCTCCTCTACAATAAGTATATTAAAGGATGATAATGATAATTAAATGATTAATTAATTAATAATAATAGTAATAGTAGCATTGATGATGCTTCACTTTTCTCGTAAAATAAGTTGTTTTTTACGTTAACTCTTCAAAGAAAAAAAACAAATAAAAAGTGTCAATCTTCTGGTTTTAATTTGATAATTGTTCTGCGAGCAATATTTAAATGAATAATGCAAATGATTGATGGGGAGCGTAAATTATTATACAAAATATTCTTTGCAAAAAATAGAGACAAAAATGGACTAAATGCAAAATAAATGTTATTAAGAATATGCACTCTTCCATTCTTTTATTAGAAATGCAAAATATGCACCGAATTATTAAATTAATTAGAAAATTCCGTAATAATTCCAGTTTTAATTCAGTAGAAATTATTAAATACTAATGCTATTATTTTGTTTGTTTTCAAAATTATGCAAACATCATTTGCCATTTACATACGCAACCAATCACAGTAGTCAGTTAGTTTTAAAGTATTTACCATTTCATGCGTATATCAGCACATTTCATGCGTATATCAGTGGACTTACATGTGTCACGTAAAAAACTCAGAACTTTGATTTAAGTTTATGCAAAAAATTAGAACATACCAGCTGAAACGTTTAGTTTTGTGCAATTGAAAAGAAGTTTTGTCGTACCGATCAGTGATGTCATTCTGAAAATTATTAGATACTATATTGTGAGTAGGAAGAAAAAAAATGTCATCATACAAGTGAAAATGAAAAATGCATGAAGGCTTCAGAAGTGAAGATAATTGTTTACGTTTCAACATTGATGCTTACTGAAAAATTTAATTCAGAGCAGATAAAATTATAAATCAGAGTAAGGATTGTAATACGTAATAGTTGCTCACACGCGTGAGCACGCGTGACAGCATGAAAAGTTTGGTCACAATTATTCTTATGTGTATTTTAAATAATTTTACCTTTTTCATTGAAGATGTATAATTTTTATCACTAAAAGGACTGATAAAAAGATTTTATTGTGATGTCAACAGGTAAATAAATACTCATGCAAAAATGTCAGAGCTTGCAATTATTTTGTGTTTTTAATTCTTCATAACTACAAGAGAATAAAATTATGATAATGTGACATTCAATTTTGACATCTTATAATTTTTCCGCCTTTTTTTAAAGCGTAAAATAAAACTTGTAATTGAATCAAGTAATTCAAATCTGAAAATAAAGTAATGAAAAAGATAATTTTTTTAAATACTGCTACAAAATAAAATTGTTCTGCGAATTTTTATGATTCACAAAATTTGCAAATAGACCACTGATATGAAATCATTTTTTCAGATTATTTTCACTGATATGAATTCAACAAAAAGTATATTATCATAAAATGATTATTTATCGAGGGAAATGTGATTTTTTTTGATGCAAATGAAAGTTCTATTGGCATTGCAAATTGGATGAATGTTTTTTGATTAAAAAAAGAAAAAAAAATTCAATTTTTTCATTTTTTTCTAATTTTTGATTACATGCAAGGGAATACTAATAACAGCAATTTCAATGTACAAATATTATAAATTATTAAAGCATATAATAACTAACTTAACCTATTAATCTTTTTGTAATAAATATATTTGTGAATCAAAAGACTATTTGAAATGGTGAGAAAATTGGCTCATTTGCTATTTATTTGCTTTCTTATCAGTAATTTAAACATACTCTGAAAGTTTACTTTTCATAGTTCGGTAGAATTTCAAAGACATTAGAAGACAAAGGTCAAAGAAATTTGTATGACTATAAATAAGTTTAATTTTAGCTTATGGCTATTTGCAATTAGAAGGGTGAAAAAACCTTTTCATTTTATTAAACTAGATATCTCAAATATTTATAAAACTGATGTGAAGAAGTAGCTTTCTTATTTCTATTAGGAATGTATCAAAGTTTTATTAATGCATTAATTTTTTTAATTTTGTGCATAAAATTGAAAATGAATTTAAAAATTTGTGAATAAATTTTAACAAAAATATTTTTAAACTAATTTTCGAATCATTTGTAACTTTAAATGAAATAGAAATCTATAATATTTAGCAATCAAAATTTTATATTCCTTACATAATAACAAACAAAAAGTTTTTATAAACTTCCAATATTCTATCATTCAATTTCAGTTCTATCAGTTTCAAAAAGTCCTTTTCAAAAAAGTAATTTCTGTTTGAATTAAGCAATTATATAAATTCTTATCAATGACTATTTCACTAATTGCAAAGTGTATTAGTGTTAGATACAAACTTGAAGCAAATAATAAAATCAGTTCAAATAGCGAAAGATCATCTCTACAAGCAGCAAAATATTTTACAAAATATTTTACTGAAAAGTATTAATTATAAAATCAAAATTACGCTTAATAAGCAACAAAATGATGTCAAAATTTTAAACTTCAAAAAAATATCAAAA